ATTGGATAATAGAATGATTGTGTGTGTGTGTGATGAATTAGCCTCGTCTGACTGATCGCACTCCTCCCGAAATTTGTTTATAAAACATCACTTATTCTGGAGAACATTATATTTCTTTTAGCTTAACTGAAATAAAAAAAATATTTGTAAAAAAAAAAAAAATTAAACTCCTAAACCAACACTATTAGCCACCTAATTTATTATTTTTTCCGATTGGTTACAGAACAAACCACTGTTGTCCAATGACAATCCTAATTATCCCAACTTATCTATTTAAGCTAATGTTAGCCCTTTCAATTGCACTTTAAACTGAATAGTATCTTGCAAAACAAAATATTTTGATGGCAGATTAAAGTGAAGACCGGGGGGCCCTGTTCTAGGGTGCTGCACTGCTGTCTTTTAATATATATCAATATTTCAAGATTTTGTGGCATGTAATCATTGTTACACTGAATAACATTTTAATGTCACAGCCATCTCACCCTGCAGCCCAAGACCGGTTACCCACTGAAGCTAAGCAGGGCTGAGCTTGGTTAGTACCTGGATGGGAGATCACTAGGGAACACTAGGTTGCTGTTGGAAGTGGTGTTAGTGAGGCCAGCAGGGGGCGCTCAACCTGTGGTCTATGTGAGTGCTAATGCCCCAGTGAAAGTGAAGGGGACACTACACTGTCAGTGGGCGCCGTCTTTCGGATGAGACGTTAAACCGAGGTCCTGACTCTCTGTGGTCATTAAAAATCCCATGGCACTTCTCGTGAAAGAGCAGGGGTGTAACCCCTGTGTCCTGGCCAAAGTTCCTCTATCGGCCCTTACGATCATAGCCTACCAATCATCCCCTTCCATCGAATTGGCTTTATCGATGTCTCTCCACTCCACCAATAGCTGGTGTGTGGTGAGCGCACTGGCGCTGTTGTCCTGTAGCTGCCGTCGCATCATCCGAGTGGATGCTGCACACTGCTGGTGGTGTGGAGAGACCCCCCCTCATGATTGTGAAGCGCTTTGGGTGTATAGCCATACACAAATGCGCTATATAAATACACATTACATTGCATAACATTTAATATAACACATTTTACATAACATTTAGTGTCTTCTGTAAATCATAGATTGCATTATTATTGTGCTGTTTGAAAACCACTCATCATTCTCTGTTATCAGACTCACAAAGCAATAATGGTCGCTAAGTTTTGGATCTAAATAGGACTGGGAGTGATCACAGTGTGTTTACTGGTACACTGAAGGATTACTGTAAGGATGAGCATATAAGCGCACCTTCAGCAAAACTCGCTTATACCATGTGAAGGTAAATTTAGCAGTCAATTACTTTTGCTCCAGCTTTTTTGTTTCTCCTTGAACTCACTCCTAAACCCTTCCTCGTCACACACAGTCATTACCTTGAGAAAGAAACGGTCCTACCATGAATAATTTGCTGAACTAATAGCTTTTTGTCCAAGTTCAAGAGTTAACACAGAGCACTGTGCCCTCGAAGTTTCTACGGAAATTACTTGGAGAGAGTGTGTGAGTGTGTTTCCATTGATTAGAAGCTTGAAATTTCCTTTATCTCCTTTTTTTTTTTGCTCCCGAGTGGCACCTATTACAGCATACTTCATCTCTTAATAGCTGTGGTAATTAAATGAGCAATTATCTTTAACAAGCCTCTTCAGATTTGCATCTAAACACAACAAAGACTTTTCCCCCGGTGTTTTGTTTGTTAATACAGTATACTGCACACTCACTGGCCACTTTATTAGGTACACCTGTTCAACTGCTCGTTAGCGCAAATTTCTAATCAGCCAATCGCATGGCAGCAGCTCAATGCATTTAGGCATGTAGACATGGTCAAGACGATCTGCTTCAGTTCAAACCAAGCATCAGAATGAGAAAGAAAGGTGATTTAAGTGACTTTAAACATGCTATGGTTGTTGGTGCCAGAAGGGCTGCTCTGAGTATTTCAGAAACTGCTGATCTACTGGCATTTTCATGCTCAACCATCTCCTGCGTTTACAGAGAAAAATATCCAGTGATATTGGGCTCAAATGCCCTGTTGATGCCGGAGGCCAGAGGAGAATGGCCAGACTGGTTCCAGTTGATAGAGAGGCAACAGTAACTCAAAAAAACGCACAACATGTCGAACCTTGAGTCGGATGGACTACAGCAGCAGAAGACAACACAGGGTGCCACTCTTGTCAGCTATGAACAGGAAACTGAGGCTACAATTCACACAGGCTCACCAAAACTGGACAACAGATTGGAGAAACATTGCACGGTCTGATGAGTCTTGATTTCTCCTGCGACAGGATGTTTTCTTGGCAAATTTGGGTCCATTAATACCAACTGTGAATCCTGTCAACACCACAGCCTACCTGAGTATTGTTGCTGACCTTGTCCTTTATGACCACAGTGTACCCATCTTCTGACAGCTACTTTCAGCAAGATAACGCTCCATGTCATCAGGGCCGGTGCATCCATAGAGGCGACCCAGGTGGCCACCTAGGGCGGCAGAATAGGCAACAACATCAACCCAACACCCCCAAGGGCGGCATGATCATCGTTTGCCTAGAGCGCCAGTTGAGCTCCGGCATGCCATAAAGGGTGAATCATCTCAGACTGGTTTCTTGAACATGACAATGAGTTCACTGTACTCAAACGGCCTCCACAGTCACCAGATCTCAATCCAATAGAGCACCTTTGGGGAATGTGGTGGAACGGGAGATTCACATCATAGATGTGCAGCTGACAAATCTGTGTGATGTTATCATGTCAATATGGAGCAAAATCTCTGAGGAGTGGGCGAAGTAGTGGCGCAGTAGGTAGTGCTGTCGCCTCACAGCAAGAAGGTCGCTGGTTCGAACCTCGGTTCAGTTGGCGTTTCTGTGTAGAGTTTGCATGTTCTCCCTGAGTTCGCGTGGGTTTCCTCCAGGTGCTCCAGTTTCCCCCACAGTCCAAAGACATGCGGTACAGGTGAATTGGGTTGGCTAAATTGTCCGTAGTGTATTTGTGTGTGTATGTGTGGATGTTTCCCAGAGATGGGTTGTGGCTGGAAGGGCATCCGCTGCGTAAAAACATGCTGTGGCGACCTCGGATTAATAAAGGGACTAAGCCGACAAGAAAATGAATGAATGAATGAATCTCTGATGAAGGCAGTTCTGAAGGCAAAAGTGGGTGCAACACAGTACTGGTTAGGTGTACCTAATAAAGTGGCCAGTGAGTGAATATGGCAGAATTGTATTTTCTGATGAGAGCTTCATACTTATAAACAGTGGTTGTGTGTGAATGACAGTGCAGTGTTGAATATTGTGATTTATTTCAGACACAATAAAAAAAACAATAATGTCTCTTGAGTCGAAACAATCTTCAAATTCACTTGTTTTGTGTCGTGTCAAGAGTGAGATTGACATTTTTATTAACTACTTTTTCTGGTCAGTACTAAATGAGGCAGCTCTTTTGTGTATATTAAAGGAATCACATTCTTCAGTGTATTTAATTCAGAATAAACTGAGCATCTTGAACAGCAGCTGTGCACAGATCAAATATAAAATGATATGTTTCTGCCTTTCTCAGCTGTGTGCTTGTAGCACAATGATCTTTTCAAATCAAATAAAGAAAAGTAAATTAGAAAATAAGTAAATTAATAAGTAAAAAAGTAATTGGAAAAGGCTAATAGGAAAATATTTATTGATTTTAATATATGAAACACAAAATGACTAAATCATGTCCTTTTTTTCCATTAAAGCATTTCTCATTCTCATACATACAGTAGATTATTCTCAAAGCATCTCTGTCTGTTTACTCATTCCACAGTTTATTCATTATACAGCTATAGTTTTGTATTTCAGTATTGGAACCCGGCTTTCAGTCTGTTATTGCTTTGAAAATAAATGAGATACTTAAAATGAAGAACATTTTACTTTCAAAAGATTATTACTGAGATCAATTTAAGAACTGCACATAAAATGTCCTTCAAATTATATTACATTTTAACATCAATTACATTTGAGGTGATACATAAATGAACATAGACTGAACAACCCAATTCTGTGTCAAATAAAATATTTCTATAATTATCAAAAACAATCTGACCTTAAATACAATTAAGTTCATTGAATATTGCCTTTTTCGTGGCTTCTTATGTTTTAATGTTCAGACTCAGAATTTTAACTTTTGATTTAAAAGCGCATTGAGCATTTATTATTATTCTGAATGATTTGAATGAATGCATTTTATAAACCTGATCAAGTGAAAACAAACAGATGCGAATAATTCACTATATCTTAGAAATAAAGGTACAGGAGCTGTCACTGGGGCAGTACCTTTTCAAATTTGTATACCTGAAGAGTCAATAATGCTACCTCAAATGTACTTTTTAGGTACATTTGGACACTAAAATGCACCTTTAAGGTACCACTGTGGACTTTTGGGGTACAAATAAATACCTTTTGAAAAGGTTCTGCCCCAGTGACAGCTCCTGTGCCTTCATTTCTGATAGTGTACCATTATCTTTGGAGTATGGAAATCTTACCTGATTGACTTGGAAATATCCATCACACTAAGTTTAGTTTGTGTTAAAGCTCTCCAAAATTATGCTAGTCTCTTATGCAAATCGAGAAATAAGTTAGACCTAAATATAGACTGAAATATTTTTCATTGGATTTACTAAATTATTTTAAGGTAAGAGGTTGCAAACAATTTAAACTAATTATATTTAGCAATGTTCAACTTTCTTACATTGACTTAGCATATCTATATCCCCCCTATTTCCAAAGATTTAAACTAACAATTGTCATATTGATGATCTGGTGCATGCATTTTATAGATGATTTGTATTTTCAACATTTTTCCCCTATTATTTTATCTAGAATAATCTGTACTAATTTAAACAACTTGTGTGCCCCCCCTTCTCCTTTTTATTCCTTTTTATTTAGTTTTGTATATTTTTTATTATTGTCGTTTTTTCTCTAAATTATAAAAAAAGATGTAAATATGATGTTGATAATGAGGTTGTATTGTCATATTTTCAATACATCTCAATAAAAATATTGTTTAAAAATCTTTGTTTAAATTCCGCCTATGTTGTATGCAACTAAATAAAAAAAATGTAGTAAATCCAATGACTTTTTTTCTTTCAGTGTGATTAATCTGATGCTACAAATAGGTTCGTGTGAATAAAATGAGGTCAGACTCCTCAACACTCCTCAATCTGTCCCGGAATCGCACAGCAGTCGCTGAGTCCAGCAGAGGTGAAGGGCATCATGTCCAGGCAGATCTCCATCTCTGCGTCCTGCGGCAGCAGCGCGCTTCTTTGGACACGAGACGAATTGGACACGACCGATACCTTATCGAAAGGCACGTCCGTCTGATCGCAGTGTCCCGGGACCAAATCCAGGCGCGGACTGGAAACTCCCTGCGCGTCCTTGTGCATCAGAGTGGTGTCGTGATGGTAGGACACGAGCTCGTTGGTGAAGTTCACCGTCTCCACCGTGGAAGACGCGCAGAGTCGGTTGCAGCCGAGAATAGTACTGAAGGCTTTGCGGAAATCCGCGTTGAACGCGTAGATCACCGGGTTGAGCGATGAATTGGCCCATCCGAACCACACGAAGATGTTGAAGGTGGTGCTGCTCACGCACGGAGAGTCTCCAAGAGTGTCGCAGAACGGCACGATGCAGTTGAGGACGAAAAAGGGCAGCCAGCAAAACACAAACACACCCATGATGATGGAAAGCGTTTTCAACACCTTCGTTTCTTTCTTAAACGTGCTCTTCAGCGACTGCTCGCTCGCGCAGTCCTGCTGGCTCTGCGCGTGTCCGGCCGCGCGCTCCAAAATGGAGATCCTCCTAATCTGCGTTTGCGCGATCCGGTAGATCCGCGTATATGTTCCTATCATGATTATAACAGGGATGTAAAAGCTTATGAGCGAGGACGCGATGGCATACGTCCTGTTTAAAGAGGCGGTGCAGTCCTCGGATGGGACGGTGAGGTTGTGATCCACAGCTCTGTGCCAGTTAAGTTTGACCGGAATGAAAGAGATCAGGACGGAAAGTGTCCACGCCATGCCGATCATTATAAAGGCCATCCTCTGGGTCATTTTACGCTCGTAGCGAAAGGGGCTTGAGATGGCCCAGTATCTGTCCAAACTGATGATGCACAGGTTGAGGATTGACGCCGTTGAACACATGATGTCAAAAGCTATCCAAGTGTCACAGAAGCCGCCGAAGAGCCAGCAGCCGGCCACCTCGGAGACAGCCTTCCACGGCATGACCAGGACAGCCACGAACAGATCAGATACTGCTAGGGATATGACGAAAAAATTGGTGACTTTGGATCGGAGATGTCTGAATTTGATGACGGCGGCGCACACGAGCGTGTTGCCCAGCAGTGTGGAGAGGATGAGCGCGCAGAGAGCGCAGCCGGTGAGCGCGCGCACACCCACGCCGGAGCTGTTCCTTTCAGCACCATCGCTCTCCATGGGGCTTTTCAGACAAATGTATCATATTCAAGTGTCTCCTCGCGTCATCGGCTTCTCTGCTTCACCCTGAAGTTCTTCTCCAGAAGCTCTTTGTGTCTTGTTTCTATAAAGTGGCATCGTCCTGTTGCTTCTGAGTAGTCCGTAAAGGAACATCAGAGCCGCACTCTCTTCGCTGAAAACAATGATTTTGATGCTGTGGCACATGCAGAGAGAGAAAGGATTCAGTTCAGGGTACGACAGAAGTGAGTGCGCTCGACTTAGAGATTACTGATATAGAAAACAGCTCCACCTCAAGACGATAACATGCAGGATCTCATCGCATGTCTGTCTGCCTGCCTGCCTGCCTGCCTGCCTATCTATCTATCTATCTATCTATCTATCTATCTATCTATCTATCTATCTATCTATCTATCTATCTATCTATCTATCTATCTATCTATCTATCTATCTATCTATCTATCTATCTATCTATCTATCTATCTATCTATCTATCTATCTATCTATCTATCTATCTATCTATCTATCTGACTCTCTGTCTGTCTGTCTGTCTGTCTGTCTGTCTGTCTGTTTGTCTGTCTGTCTGTCTATCTATCTATCTATTTATCTATCTATCTATCTATCTATCTCTCTGTCTGTCTGTCTGTCTGTCTATCTATCTCACTGTCTGTCTGTCTGTCTGTCTGTCTGTCTGTCTGTCTGTCTATCTACCTGTCTGTATGTCTATCTACTTGTCTGTCTGTCTGTCTGTCTGTCTGTCTGTCTGTCTATCTATCTGACTCTCTGTCTGTCTGCCTTTCTTCAATTAAAAATAGCTTTAATTGAAAAAAAATAATAAAGATATCAGTATAACATATTTAAACCTAATCTAGAGAACCAGATCAGAACGTTTGGGAACATTTCATAATGCTTTTACCATTTTTTCTCAGTCATTTTAGTCATTTTTAGCTCAGAATAGAAATTCTCCAACATATTTACATTTTCACACCCTCGTCTTCCTTGTGCAGATCATGAAAGCAAGTTCTTTTGAACAAATCCTGAATGCCACCACCTGTGTTTCCAAAATGATCATTTCTCTTTGTCATGTTGATTAAAAGCCTGTTGAGTGTATTCTATTGTTTCTTGTTGAATAGCCTTAACCTCCAAAACATCCTATAGGCATAAGTGGCTGCAGAAGTCACTGAATGCAAAATGTGAACATACTTTCAGAAAAGTCTCCTCATGAAATGTGCAAAGGGATTTATGTTATAGGCAAAGCTCAACCTTACAATTGTAACGTCTGACAATGGATGCCAAACAAGGTAGCAAGGTCAATAACAGATGAAGAGAATAAGTGCTGGAAGGGCATAGAGAAGAGCATAGACATGTGTTTACCACATTCTCAGTAATATTCTTGCAATGACCAAGGGTCAAAAGAAGTAGCTGAATGTACAGAGAACAGTGTGTCCTCAACCACACAAAGATTTCATAAATGAAGCAAGTATGTAATTCAATAGTGTGCACTGAACTGCAATACTCCATACTTACTGTAATGCTGTATATAATAGTTATATTTTCATTCTCCAGCAAACATTATAAATAAATTTACTGCTGAATTTGATATACTATAAAATGTGTGCAATTTCAGTTGTCATCAGGAAATCTGACACTGTTACAATGTACAATGACACAACTTGTCATTCTGAATGCACTGAAAAATCACACAAATGCTACTTTTGACAGACAAACTAATGATTTTAGGAATGACATATATAAAATGTAATCAATATAAATTATGTCTAATACATCAACAAACTCTGAACCAAATTGGATGTAATTCCCTCGCTGCAAATGCTAGCACTGATTTTTTTTCTTCTGCAACCTCGATGCACGCGCATCCTGAATGTTTACATACCGGTAATTCGTCTATAGCAGGGGTCCACAATCTCGTTGGAGGTCCATTGCCCTGCAGGGTTTAGCTCCAACTTGCCTCAACACACCTGCCTGGATGTTTCAAGTATACAAATTAAGACCTTGATTAGCTTTTTCAGGTGTGTTTGATTAGGGTTGGAGCTAAAATCTGCAGGACACCGGCCCTTCAGGAACAAGTTTGGTGATTCTTGGTCTGTAGCGTCTACAGTACATTGTAGTATTGCAGTATCAGCCTATCTTGTTTTTGTGTTTCAAAATAGCTTTGGGTTGTTCAATCTCTGAGAAAATGACAGTAAGCAGTCCTGCATAAATGTTTTTGTCGTTGTTGAATGAATAAAATGAAAATAAAAACATACAAAAACACAAGTGTGGATCTGCACATAACTGTGGTTGTGTAATCATTATCTGTTTCAATGGCTTGCAGTTATGTTCTCTGTTTTCAGTTGTTTTTAAACCAATGTAAATTCATGTTCCAGTTATATTCAATGTTTATAACCATTCTATTCTCGTCTAAATGCGCGTTCGTGAATATGTCCAGCAGGAGGCGCGCGCCTGCAGTCTCCTGATAGTGGATCACAGAATTACGTCACTGGAATTTCAAGATGGCTTCGGATCACGGTCAGGATACGGTCATTTACCGGTCTGAGTCAGGAAAGCTTTGATGTTTAAAAGGGTAGCGTTTATTTGCTCGCGTTATTTGCTGACTGTTAATATTTACCCCGTGAATATGTCGGCGGATGATCTAAATAACGTTAGGTGTCATGGTGAAAGAAGCGCGGAGTCCAGCGCTAAAGCAAGGCTCTTTGGCTGTCAATCCACAAGAGGATTTTGAATGAGACGGAAAGGACCGAGGATGGACCTGTACACATATATTTCCTTTATATGAGAGCAAACTGAGATGAAAACATCGCTCACTGGATGCTTCAGAAGGAGAATATAGTAGAGGTCATTCGTGCTGTGTTCAGGAGTTGGGCTGCGGCCGATGGGTATGTATCTACACACTATAACGTTACAGTGTATTTTGACAGTAATGCAGTGTTGGCTGTGTCTCAATCCTCACTGAGCTGCCTACCTAGACAAGATTTGTGGGCTTCTTATATACACGTTTAGTACGTTTTCAATTGATATTTTATGTAGACGAGCCTGTCCTGCTGCAAAATACTGAATGCAAACTTGTTACTCAAGCTAATGTTCTAATCAAACGTTACAAACGCAGATTATGATACCTAAAATAGTAAATCATCTGTTTGACTAGAATGTTCCAACGAGGTTATGTTGCACAAAATAGTAAATTTATACACTAAACAATGCATTATTCAACTAGTTTAACAGTGTTTCAATATTGTTTCCAATGCTTGGATGCAATGTTCAGTCATGCCCAAAGATACTGAACTGAGCTTTCCTGAAGTGATTTTTGAAACCAAAAATATCTGATAGAGGTAAAGTTGTATTTATATTTGGATATTCAGACATTCTCCTTAATAATAAAATTTCATAAAAGTATTCTATGGAAATTCTAAATCATGTTAGCAGCCAATGATCATCAAAGTACAGCATTGTTTACAGTCAATTGGATAGTGCTTATGTTGTTTTGAAGTCATACTTGCATGCTCATTCTGACCGAATACTCAAAGCAACATGGTAAACAAAATAGAGACTTCTAAATGAACGAATGTGCGAATATAAACCCACCTTTACCTCTATAAATATCTGAATCAGACATATGTGTTTTAGATGACATTAAAATGCAGCAATATCTAAAAATAAATATCTTAAACCTGATTCTGATGCCTAGCTAGGCTGCTGAATGAAATGCTTGAATCAGAGGTTAAGTAATGAAGAGAATATTCCCAATATCATAGGTAAAGTTGGTTTTATATTCGCACATTCCTTCATTTAACTGTCTCTGTATTGTTTACCATGCTAATTTGAATATTCAATCAGAATGAGCATGTAAGTATGACTTTAAAACAACATCAACACTATCTAATTATTGACTGTAAACATTGTTGTACTTTGATAGTCATTGGCTGCTAATATGATTTCCCAATTTAGAATTTGTAAAGAATACTTTTTTGAAATTATATTATTAAGAAAAATGTCTGAATATCCGAATATAAAACCAACTTTACCTCTATTCCAAAATTGTGATGGTCAAATTGAATATTCAGTGACCACAGTTTATCCAAAAGCACTGGATCAAATAATTAAACTGATCATTGTAAATGCCTAAAAATACTATCATTATGCTATTTATCGAAGCTGTTTTAGACAACTTTGTTATAAAGTTTAAAGGAAGATGAATCTGTTTTATTTAGAAATGTGATACTGAATCAGACAAAAAATCTGAAGCTCAAGTAATCTGAATTCCAGACATCATTATTATGTCCTAAATACTTAGTAAAACAAACATATTATAGTAAAAACTCAGCTAGAGCTTCACAGTATGTCATTTCAGCATCGATCGATATTGCAATGTGATTATTCGCAATAGTCACGTCGCGAGTATATGCAATGTTGAGTCTGGATTAAACTACCAAAAAATGGCATGTTTACAGACATGTTTATAGTCAGTTCTTGCCACACAATACCAATGTTTTAAAAGTTATGAAATTATTATTCATGTATATATAAATTAATATATACACTGTAAAAAAATACCTGCTGATTAACAGTTTTTGTATTTTGTGATATTTCTAAGCGTTTTTCACTTATTTACGATTGTGAATTGGATTATGGGATGTTGATCTCTGGTTTGTCGACTTTTGATGTTGAAAATTCAACTCTACAGTTCAACAAAGTGACTTTTTTTTGACATTTTAGTAGTTTAAGATTAATATAATGTATAAGAAATAATATATAGAGATGTAAGTTTGCAAAATAACAGAAAAAGTCCTGGCAGTTTATTACAAGGCTTTTGTAGCGTACCAACCCAGACTAAACATCACTTTAAACTATTAAACAGGTAATAAAAGTCACTTTTTCTAACTTTTCCAGGGTAAACATTTTTGGAAAAAAGATCAATGTCCAATATTACAATTTAAAGGAAATAAAAACAAAGAAAAATAATAATAATAAAAACATGAATCACAAAATACAGAAAAACTGCTAATCTACTGATATTTTTACGATTGACGAGAAAATACACTGTAAAAAATGGCTGTGATTTCGATGGTATAAAACTGTAAAAATGCTACAGTACAAATCCGTAACCTGGTTAACAGTATGTTTCCTTAAAATATACGGTGAATAACCAGGGGCGCAACTACACATTTACTGAGGGGTATGCGGGTTCAAATTTTCGTGTGATCCCTCTTATTTTATATTAATTAATTAATAATAAATGAAGACAAATTTTCAGATTAATCTTATAACTTTTGACATTATGTATGATTTGACAGTTTATTTTGTTAAAAATAAATTCAAATCTAAACAGTACATCTACATGAACACTTTCGGCTGTGGGACTGCATGTTATTGTGTTAAATGATTTTGAATTAAACAATAACAATATTATATTCGTTTAAAATGCAAAATAATGGTTTTTAACAAAACATATTTATTTATTTTTATTATTTGAAACTTTTAATAAGGATAATTTTAAAAATAGTTTTGGCACAACGGCGCCCCCCCATGTGTGGCGCCCCTATGCGCCGCATATACTGCATACCCCCTTGTTGCGCCACTGTGAATAACCATAAATTGACTTTCCCAGAATTCCCTGCATGGCACATAACTTTTTATGCATTTCCTTGACCTTAATATGGATATTTTTAGTTCTTTCCCCATCAGTTATGTACAATCGAGATTTATGATACATTTAATGTTGATAAACAGTTGATCATTGTGCAAGTGTTTTTTGAGGCCTGTGACCATGAGAGGATTTTAAATTAATTAAACCATGTTGTGTTTTAGGCTATTCACCCAGTGGCGTCCAGAAGAGCAGCGTCATCTCCGAGCATTGTGGGTATTTTGTAGATTCGCCTGTGAAGCTGATGGTGGAGTCATCTTCATCTGGAGGCAGGGGTGCTGAGGAAGGCAGACCACCTCCCCGAATCGCAGATGTTACAGACAGGCAGGAGAACATAATGCAAGGCATGTTCTCTAACAGCGGTGCATCGCAGAGAGAAAAGGGCCAATTACAGAGCAGCCAGGAGCATGAGGCGACGGAGTCATGTGATGAAGTAAACCTGCCATGTGGCGCTAAGCTCCCGAATGGACACGCAAGCCACAATGCACCTGAGCGGGTTGCCTGCAAGTCATCCAGTCCTGCTGGAAGCTGCGTGAGTTCTGAAGATGACCATGGGATTGCAAATGGTGAACTGTTGGTGGACTCTGGAAGTGCTGGTGATGCCGTTTCTTCTGCTTTTTGCTCTGGGGAAACTCCAGATGAAGCTGGAGAAAGCTTAGAAACTCAAGCTGGAGAAACCCTAGAAGCTCTAGATCAAGCTGAGAGAAGCTCTACTGACCACTGTCTAGGTCTCCAAAGTTCAGAATGTAATGAAGGAAAGCTGCACAGACGCTCGTCAACAAGTCCTTCACCTCTGAAACACTCTCTCAGGACGTTTTCCTCCAGCACTTTCCTCAACACTGACTCTGCTTCTCTCAGTCCAAATGATGATGATGACGAGGATGAAACCTTTTCCACTTCCGATAGACCTGATGACTTAAGATTCATGGACGTGTCTCTGAAATCCAGGAATACTTATGAGATCAGTCGGCGGCAGAGCGCTCCAGACAACATCCCTGGCGTGTTGAGTGTTGCTGCAGTGGATTTGACTCTCGGCCAGAGGAAACAAGGCATCTCCGACATCTTTAGCAGGTATTATTCAGGGTTTTAACGCTTATTGAAAGTACTTGAATTTCAGACAAATGGATTCAAGGCCTGGAAAGTGGTTATTATATTTGAAATTAAATTTGTTTATGGTGTTTTTCAGCAGTTATACTGTGCTGCTGTCAAAAACATCAATTCTTTATTTAAAAACATACTAGAACAATGACAAATAATGCAAATAATTTTATAACAATTTCAGAAAGCACAGTTGAATATTGCCAGTATTGAATTTAACACATTTTACTAAAGTTATTTGAACATGACACATTCAAAACGTCATCATTACCAAGTTATGAACCACTTAGATAAAAAAGAAACTGTAAAAAAAAAAAAACAACAAGAAAATGATTTTGCCCATTTTTATTCAGTTGGCCAGACAGATGGGTATGGCCAACAAAGGGACAGATTAAGGATTTCTTTCAACCACTTAACATTGAATTGTCACTGTGTGTGAGAAACTATTTTTTAAAGATCTAAATACAAACATTTTGACCACAAATGTCCTTAGGGCGGCTTTTAAACTGGCGTAAATATTTGATCACCATTGGATTGTATTTATAGATTATTATTTGGACAATTAAATTAAAAAATACTTTGAATTTTAGTATTTTCCATTAACTTCTTATGGGTATGGCCAAAGGAACAGATTTAGGATTTTTTAACCACTTAACATTGTTGAATTGACACTATTTTTCCCCGAAATGTGTCCCTAGAGTAGCTTTTAAACATGGGTATATTATTGATAGGTATTGTTTGTATTTAAACTATTGCTTGAATGTCTAAATAAGACTATTTTGCCTCAAAAAAATGTCCTTAGGGTGGCTTTTAAACATGGGTACACTATTGTTTGGCATTATGTTGTATTTAAACTATTGTTTAAACATCTAAATAAGACTATTTTGCCCCAAAAAATGTCCTTAGAGTGGCTTTTAAACTAGGGTATATTATTGATTGGCTTTGTGTTGTATTTAAACTATTGTTTAAACGTCTAAATAAGACTATTTGCCCCTCAAAATATCCTTAGAGTGGCTTTTAAACATGGGTATTTTATTGATTGGCATTGTGTTGTATTTAAAATATTGTTTAAACATCTAAATAAGACTATTTTGCTCCAAAAAATGTCCTTGGGGTGGCTTTTAAACATGGGTATGTTATTAATTGGCATTGTGTTGTATTTAAACTATTGCTTAATTGTCTAAATAAGACTATTTATTTTGCCTCAAAAATGTCCTTAGAGTGGCTTTTAAACATGGGGACACTATTGATTGGTATTGTGTTGTATTTAAACTATTGTTTAAACATCTAAATAAGACTATTTTGCCCCAAAAATGTCCTTTGGGTGGCTTTTAAACATGGGTATATTATTCATTGGCATTGTGTTGTATTTAAGCTATTGCTTTAACGTCTAAATAAGACTATTTTGCCCCGAAATATGTCCCTAGGGTGGCTTTTAAACAAGGGTATATTATTGGTAGGCATTGTTTGTATTTAAACTATTGCTTAAATGTCTAAATAAGACTATGTTGTCCCAAAAAATGTCCTTAGGGTGGCTTTTAAACATGGGTACACTATTGCTTTGCATTGTGTTGGATTTAAACTATTGTTTAAACATCTAAATAAGACTATTTTGCCCCAAAAAATGTCCTTGGGGTGGCTTTTAAACATGGGTATATTATTGATTGGCATGGTGTTGTATTTAAGCTATTGCTTTAACGTCTAAATAAGACTATTTTGCCCCGAAATATGTCCCTAGGGTGGCTTTTAAACATGGTTATATTGTTGATAGGCATTTTTGTATTTAAACTATTGTTTAAATGTCTAAATAGGACTATTTTGCTCCCAAAAATGTCCTTAGGGTGGCTTTTAAACATGGGTACACTATTGATTTGCATTGTGTTGTATTTAAACTATTGTTTAAACGTCTAAATAAGACTATTTTACCCAAAAAAATGTCCTTAGAGTGGCTTTTAAACTAGGGTATATTATTGATTGGCTTTGTGTTGTATTTAAACTATTGCTTAAACGTCTAAATAAGACTATTTGCCCCTCAAAATATCCTTAGAGTGGCTTTTAAACATGGGTATTTTATTGATTGGCATTGTGTTGTATTTAAAATATTATTTAAACATCTAAATAAGACTATTTTGCTCCAAAAAATGTCCTTGGGGTGGCTTTTAAACATGGGGATGTTATTAATTGGCATTGTGTTGTATTTAAACTATTGCTTAAACGTCTAAATAAGATGATTTTGTCCCCCAACATGTCCTCAGGAGGGCTTTTAAACGGTCAGTAAATTAATGTGAAACAAAGGCACTTTTCTTCATCATATTAACCTGTTTAGTGAACACGTAACACTTCAAAAGGAAACAGGTTTGGTCAAGGATTGTGTCTGATTTGGGATTGAGCTGACTGGAAGCCTGAAGTATGAATTTCCTCATATTTTACAATGCTTTTACAGCTCAGTCTTAGATCTGATCTCTGCATTGGCAATGGCTGCTAAAGAGGAACGTTTTTCCAAATGTCATGCTTCGTGGTTTGCGTAATTTTTTATGAATCAGCTTGTGCTTTATCTCACTTCACAGACTGCAGTGGCATTCTTTTGGTGTCATGTGCTCCGCAGTCACTGGCTTATAGTATCAGGCTTATCTAAATGCTGAGGAGCCAGAAGTACTGTAGATTGTGCGCTTGCAGTGCTTTTTTGTGCAGCGTCAGTGCAGTGTTGACTGATGCTCTGCTCTGATGTGTTCGGCAGGAGTCTGTTCACCAGAAAGCAGAGGGAGGCCCAGAGTGCACCAGGGTGGAAACTGTTTGGAAAGGTCCCGCTGAGAGAGAGTCCTCCTAAAGACTCCAAAACCATTCAGCAGGTCTGTTCACACCTGATTCACATTAAGAGTGGATGTACTGTAAATATAGATCAACAAACGGGATGTTGATGCAACAAAACCACTTTTGTTTTGTTTTGTTTTGTTTTGTTTGTTTGGGTTTTTAAAGTTTTGATTTTGGTATTGTTTGGTATTTTGCTTTGATTTTTTTTTGTTTATATTGCTTTATTATTTTTTACATGTTTATTTAAAGTTATCAGGATGAATGTACAATGTGCTTCCAGAGATATAATCAGAGGCAAGTTTTTTTTTCATCTTAGGTCAGACAGAAATTAACATTTGAAATAAAATGTACATAATTTTGATACATATAGATACAGTTGAAGTCAGAATTACTAGCCGATCAATTATTTGCTTTTTTTTTTTTTTTTAAATGTTTCCCAAATGATGTTTAACAGAGCAAACACATTTTCACAGTATGTCTGATAATATTTTTTCTTCTGGAAAAAGTCTTATTTGTTTTATTTCGGCTAGAATAAAAGCAGTTTAATTTTTTAAACACCATTTTAAGAGACAAAATTATTAGCCCCTTTGAGCTAGTTTTGGTTTCAATAGTCTATAGAACAAACCATTATGCTGTGTTCACACCAGACGCGGAACGCGTGGATAAATCGTGCTATTCGCGCATAAATAGCCGCGTGAACATTTGAGTTTACTCGCTTCATACGCTCGTCAAACCCCGCTTCATTCGCGTGTCAAATTCACATCAGAACAGACGCGGATTTGCATGATGGGCAGGGCTTCTGTCTGCCCGAAGACTCTAGCTTCAGAGCTAAATGGCTAACATGGATTTTATGAAGAAAATAACAGTGTTTATGTGCTTTATGAAGACTGAAAAACAGCGTCGATACGTTTAGGGTCGTGTCTGAGTCCACTACATTCTTTCAGAGTTGCACCCAGCTCTGTGAGCTCATAAACTTAACCAACTTAACCTGGCTGAGAGAGGCTTTCAGCGGTGCATCTGACTGAGCCAAGCTGAGTTTGATGAACTGTTGTTAATGAAGGCTGGAGGATTTCCCTCGGAACACAGACAACAGGTTCTAAGTCACAATCACGCCCCCACAAGAGCAAGCTTCTGATTGGTTAACGCGGCGCGAATGTTCAGAAGTTCAGATTTTCGAAATCGAGAGATTCAAACGCGCAAAACGCTCAAATCGCCCCGCGCAATTTGAGTCATTCGCGCCGCGCCATTCGCGCGTATAGCGCCGCAGGATGTCTATTCGCGCATTTGCATTGACTTAACATGTAAATCACTCGCGCTTGACGCACGTTCCGCGTCTGGTGTGAACGCAGCATGATACAATAACCTGCCTAATTGCTCTAACCTGCTTAGTTAACCTAATTAACTTAGTTAAGCCTTTAAATGTCACTTTAAGCTGTATAAAAGTGTCTTGAAAAATATCTAGTCAAATATTATTTACTGTCATCCTGACAAAGATCAAGTTATTAGAAATGAGTTATAAAAACTATTAAATTTAGAAATGTGTTAAAGAAAACGAGGAAAAAAATAAACAGGGGGGCTAATAATTCTGACTTCAACTGTATAATAAACATTCCATATAAACCATGTAGTGATAAAATTCACCAAACAAGAAATTATCAGGAAAACATAATTATGCACTGAACAAGTATATAAATAAGTAAAATATCACAAAAATGCATAAGATAAATTGAAAATAAAAATTCAGAAGCAAGTTTTACTAATAAATGTGCCTTTACTTAGAGTCCAAATGCACTTCAAAAGCAATAGTAATAATAGCAAATGGCTTAATTAATCATTTATCAAATGAATAAATACAACACATTTTTAAGAGCAATATAATAATAAAGAAATGATAATAAGACTTGCATATGAATTTACAAGTACATTTATAAACAAACCTTCTACAATTGCCCATTCAAAACAGATCTTTCACAGAAGAACTGTAATGCATTATTTCCTGTAATATACTGTAAACATATAGTCGCATTATGGATGAAAAATGAATATTCTGTGCCGACAAGATAAATATATATATATATATATATATATATATATATATATATATATATATATATATATATATATATATATATAAATCTGAAAACAGAATAACAGTTATATAAAAATAGAAGGGCATATATTATTTCCAAACCCTCATCAAAGTTAAATTACTATTACACACAAAAACTACAAAAATAAAAAAAGTATAATGTCAGTGATGTACAAAATATATGTTTAATCTTTCACATTATAAATAACTCATGTTTAATATCCAACAAGACTTTTTAGAAAAGACCTTCATCATTCAAATTGGACTACATTGAAATTCTGTCTCTCTGTCTCGAGAAAACTTTGAACTGTGAACGCAAAATCTTAATAAGTGACGTTTCTGTGGTGTTTCACCAAGAAACCTAAATAATTAACATTAGAGCTAAACATGTTTAGTAAACCTTTTTATAGGCCTTGTTGTTTGCATTTACTATGGTCAAAACAGTAAGTTAAGTAAAAGCAAGATACTTTATTACTCTTTCATAAGGAAGCCTACAGTATAGTAAAAAACAAATAATAATAAAAAAGCCCTTTTTTACATTAAATCAGCTCGATTTGCCATCTTTAAGTGATTTGAAACAAGCAAATTTTAGAACCACGAAGGAAATGCTTTCAAAATGTATTTTTCAGTAATTTCTGTATCATTTCTTCAGTAATGTTTGTTCAGTAATGGGCAGAGTTTTAGTGCTGTTTTCTAATCAGACAGAAGACATGCATGCCTAACCAGCTCACTTTATGCAAGTTTCACTTCTGTTTAGGCAAATAGCTCGGGCTATGTTTGTGTTAGTCCTGATTCTCTGTTTGGGTGCAGAGAGAAGTTTGAGTTTGGTCTGGAAGGCCTGTTTTCACAGTCCTGCTGGCTCAAGAGTGCAAAACCCTTCAGGATATTACAGACTGTGTTTTTAGCTGAGAGAATGAGAAGGTTGTTCAGAGGTCAGCACATGAAAGAATGCATATATTCAATCTTTTTATTTAAGGCACAGCCTCACGCTATCTCTGGCCTGCTTATCTTTCATCACGCAGACACACTTCTGTTAGGTTACTGATGGAGCGGTGCGATTTGGGGGAGCAAAATCTAATTGCATTTTTCTTTTTAAATTGTATTGTGATTTTTAAACAGAGCAATATTCTTTCAATTTAAATTTAAGGAATATTTATAAATATATTTAACTGTATATATATACAATTGAAGTCAGAATTTTTAGCCCCCCTTATATTTTTCCCCCAATTTCTGTTTAACGGAGAGAAGATTTTTTTTAGCACGTTTCTAAACATAATAGTTTTAATAACTCATCTCTAATAGCTGATTTATTTTATCTTTGCCATGATGACAGTCAATAATATTTTATTATATACTTTTCAAGATACTAGTATTCAGCTTAAAGTGACATTTAAAGCTTAACTAGGTTAAATAGGTTAATTAAGCTAAATAGAGGAATTGTGCAAGTCGATGTATAATAATGGTTTGTTCTGTAGACAATTGGAATAAATGCTTAAGGTGGCTAATAGTATTGACCCTTAAAATGGTTAAAAAATAATAATACCCTAAAAGAAAAAGTATTTCCAGAAGAAAAAATATTCTAGGAAATACTGCGAAAAATTCCCTGCTCTGTTAAACATCATTTGGAAAATATTTGAAAAAGAACATAAATGCTAATAACTTTGACTTCAACTGTACATGTATTATAGGCATACAGTATGTGTAGTCATTATATATTTTGTATGCAAATTAAAAGTCTGTCCCCTTCTCTTAACAAAACAACAGATCTATGCATTTTAATGTGCTTATAGTTTTGAAAATATGATTTCAAGTGTGAACAAAGCAACAGTAAGTTAGTAGGTAAAAACAGTAAGTGGGTAAATAAAGAAGCATTAAAGGCATAGCCATTTTTCTCAGAAATCATATTTCTAAAGGTGCTGTTGACTTGAAATTGATGTCACCAGATGTCTATAACAATTTGTTTATGATAACAATTGATTGATTGATATTACAACTAATGTAATCCATACATACAAAGTAAAAAACACAAGTAATTAGTTTTTTCTAATTTAAAAAAAAATTCTAATTTTTAATAAACTATTTTTTTTTCTTTTTAAAATATTTTACAAATGATGTTTAACAGAGCAAGGACATTTTTATGCATGTTTGCTAATATTTTTTTCTTCTGGAGATAGTCCTGTTTTTTCTTTTAAAGCATTTAAATTTTTTTTTATAAACCATTTTAAGGTCAAAATTATTAGCCACTTTAAGCTATTTTTATGACTGTCTACAGAACAAACCATCGTTATATAATAACTTGCCTAATTACCCTAACCTGCCTCGTTAACCTAATTAACCTAGTTAACCCTTTAAATGTCACTTTAAGCTGTATAGAAGTGTCTTGAAAAATATCTAGTCAAATATTATTTATTGTCATCATGACAAAGATAAAATAAACCAGTTGTTTGAAATGAGTTATTAAAACTATTATGTGTAGAAATGTGTTGAAAAAATCTTCATAAATTGGTAAGAAAAATAAACAGGGGGGCTAATAGTTCTGACTTCAACTGTATGTAATAAAATGAGATGACACAGAATAAAAGGTGTTGAACACATGAAGAAAGGAAGGTGTAAAAAGGCATGGAAGTCCCAGACAGCAGCTGAAATCTCATAGTAGTTTTTTTAGCTCCTTCTCCTCAACAGTGTAGTAAATGATTATTAGCTGCTTCAGTTTCAACTCCTACATTACCAGATGACGAAGAGGATATTTCAGCAAGACAACCCCAAACAAACTCTCAGTTGTTTAAAAAAAATAAAATATAGCTGTGCTTAATAAAACACAAGTGCTGGAGATTCAAAGCACATGTCTTTTTTTTTATTCAGCCATAATTTATAACGCAGCCTTTTGATATTTTTTTAATCTCAATAGTTGTGAATATTCAATTCAAATCTCAATATTGATGTTTTATATCAATATTTCTAATCTTAATATTACAATTGTGATTATAACTTGATTTTGATTAATTGCACAGTTCTACCTACTAACAGCTAAACTACACACAAATAAGGAAAACTGGATTGAGGCAGAATAAAGCACCTCCAGCAAACACCAGACCTCTCATGAATCACGCCAGCATAAACTCTGAAAGCACTCTTCCTTGTTTAGACTGAAATCAGTGGAGTCAGCACAGTTCTGACGCGAAGGCCATTCTTTCTTGTTCTCAGGATCTGCCTTATGTTGCTGTATTTCTCTCATTTTTCTCTCTCTTCAGGAAAGTAACCCAGGCAATCTCACGTCTGTCTCTACACCCAATCTCTTAAGTTCAGGGGTATGATGTTTGCTTTCTAAATGAGCTCTCCTTCGTTCTCACCGTCTCTTCTGAGCCGTTCGCCTTCACTCACCATCGTCATTTCAGCCACGCTCATGTCACATGCCTGCTTGACCAGCGCTGTAACACGCTCTGCTCATGCTGACAGAATCATTCACTCAAAAGCAAAATCCTCATCCTCATGCCATTGCAAATAAATTCAGTCACACACAGCAAATTATATTTTGAAGATTGTTCACGTTGCACTTTTCCAGATTCAATGACTACAGGCCATCAACCTCCTGTCATGAACTAAACAACAGCAATCATTATGTGCTCTGTTTACTGTCTTTCGAGGTAATTTATTGGCAGTATACTTTTTAATTGACAGGATCATTGTTAAAAATAAATATTAAGACCCCCAAAACTCTAGTGTTATGTGAATAAATGGTCGAAACATATAAAAGGTTACATTTTTAGTTAAAAACACCCCTATATTAATAATAGATAATTTATCTCTGTATTTTGTACAATCACTCAACTTAATTATATATTAATTAGTATAATACTTATTTAAATTTAAATATTAATGCAGTATTTTAAGAAAAAATATTTTAATGCTTGTAATAAAAATCGAAAAAGATCTGTGTGAACATTCCTCAATAACTCTTTGTATTTTTTTAATAATAATAATAATGTTTTACAGCTTTAAAACCTCCAGTGTCCCTGTATCTGGTGTTACACTCAGTAAACAGCAGTGAGTTTGGTGAACTGATGTCCTTCATGGCCAATCACAGTCCTTTCTGTTGAGCATGAGCGGGAAGTTGGCGTTTTAAAAATTTCTTTACCGATTGGTATCGAATTCCACTATCATGACAACACTACAGTACATCTACAGCTTTTACTATGAAGCCTAAATGTTCTCCTGATATCAGGCTGCTGAACTGTGCATGATAAAAGCACCACTTGATCCTCTTCTCTCTCCTCTCTGAATAGTTCCTCTCTTCTCCCATATTTCCCAGAAAAAGAGCCTCATTCATGATATGTCCGTTCTCATAGGAGTGTCTTAGACAAGTCAAACCTTTGTCCTGCCATTCAGGCACTGATGATGAACGAGGCTGAGCTTATGCAGTAGACACTACGGGAAGAGAAACCTGTCAAACTGACCCTCCACAGAAAAACAAGCTAGATGTGATGATTTTTCTTTTTCGACAGTTCCTGAGAATTTGATGAGCTCAGGTCAGGTGTCCTCTCACTTCCTCATATGAACAAACTCGAGCTTTGAGTGAGCCGTGAGCTTCATATACCAGCCTCAGCTTGACCTCCACACACACACACCTGCCATCCGCCTCCATAACCTCACACCATAAAACACTCTCCTGTCAGCCGGCGATCACACACTTGAACTTGACCTGTTGGTTTTCACACAGGAGTACGAGGCCAAGGTGTGTAAATCTGGCCAGAGTCCCTCGCTGCCTGCTCAGAGCCGACGGAAGAACCTGGAGTTTGAGCCACTGTCCACCACCGCGCTCATTTTAGAGGACCGACCTGCGTGAGTATTCCTGTACTGCTAAAAAAATAAGCAGATTCAGCTTAAGGCCCTGTCCACACAAACAGGGGTATTTTTCAAAACTGCATGTTTTTCAATGCGTTTTCACTGTTTGTCCACAAGAAAACCCTGTGTAAAGTGGCTGAAACTGAAACTTTTTAAAAACTATAGGTGGGCATAGATTATTTTTTGTAAATCTAGATTAATCTCACTGTAATCTTGGAATTAATCTAGATTAAAATGGCTTATTTGAATTCTGACGAAGGCATTCAGAATATGTGTGCTACCTAAATAATGACTAAAGTAAGTCTTTGAGAATGGGTTTCTCAAGCCAGGTGGCGCATTAGACCAGGGGCTCATCTCCTGTTTCCAAAATGCGTCACAAACTGCTTGAGAAACTGTTCTACTATGATAATTGGTGGTGAAAATAAATGATGTTCAATAAGATGTACTTGTGTTTACTAACAGTTTATTCAGCTAAACATGAATTTTGAACTGTAGGCCTACATAAGCTCCAAACAGCCATTTTTGATGACCCTAATCCAAGTAAAGTCATAACTAGGGCCAGGCGGAATCTGCAAACGTTTTTTGCTAATTCTGCTGAGAATTTTGGTAAAAATCTGCGGATTTCTGCGGAATTATTTTGCAAGTATCCAGTGGAGTATCCTAACCAAAACCTTAATATATTAAATAAAAAGTAATAAATTACTGAATAAAAACAAATTCAGACTTACACATTTACTCAAGTAAATAAACAGAATTAATGATGGGTTAAAAATCTGCAGAATTCTGCGGAATTCTGTGGAAAATGTGCGGAATTCTGCGCGCACAGATTCCTTGTGGGCCTAGTCATAACTGAACTTAACATAAGACATGTGGAGTATGCAAGTATTATTGGCATTACTGAAGTAAACACCGCAATCAAACTATTACCATCATGTTGGACTTTTCCCCATATTTTCCAACAAGATCCACACACATGTCTGTCAGTAAAGGACAGTGCGCACACACACACACACACACACACACACACACACATACATACATCGTGAAATGCAGAGGTTTTTTTTCTTTCCATTTGGCGTGCTATATTAAATTCCGGTACACTCTCACCAGTCTTTACTCCTTATTTGCGTCTAATACCCCAGTTTGCCACGGGGGCATGAATGAAATGTTCATGAGTTAAAGTTACCCAAAAAACAGGAAACTCTTACATGAAAGCACTTCACGTAAACACTTTAATTATATTATTGTCTATCAAGGCAAATAACTAGATTACAGATGTCCTTGTAACCGTAGTCAGGAGTGTCTTCAAAGTAAGTGAAAGATCCAGAAGGGCATCCTGCTAATTTAATTCAGAAGCGCACTTTTTTTTTGTCAGACGGCTCACCGGTCAGGTATACATCCGCGCTAAAATATCAAGGTGAAAGTCATGATAGCTTGCGTAGAACAGACCCAGCTCCCAACCCAATTTTGAGAATAGATTAACAGCGATAAGTGTCTCGTGCTAACACAGCACGTAACGCCGATAACAGCCCACCACTACTAAAAACTCTGACTTTGGTGACAATTTTCTGAAACTCTGGGTAAAGTCAAAGTCCGTTTAAGGTAAGTAATTTCACTCAACGGTCATATTTGAAACCCCTGTTGGGCAATATGTTAGGGCATTCAGTCTGAATGGGGAAACATCAAACTCTCCAAAACTGTTGTGTTACAGATTATCATCCTTTGGATAAAATTGCAACGTACTGTATAGTCAAACAAAATGTGCAAAATCAATATAAACTGAAACAAATTTTTGTCCTTACCAGCTATAGTTTATAACGATCCTTAATTCCTAAATTATAAAATCACTTTTTATAAAAGGCTTAAACACAGTTGTGTGGCAACAATGTGTGACTGTAGCCAGCATCTAATGATAAAAATGTATTCAATCATATTGTTTATAACTGCTTTTCAATAAAACATTCTTATTCATAAAAAAATGTCAACGACGGGTGAAAGCCCCACCCTCCCTGATTAGTATAGACAACCCTGATTGAAGCCGCTGTTGACCATTACGGCTATTACGGAGTTTTTACACCGTGCCTGCTGAAGATAATGTCCGCCACTAAGAGGCTTTATAAATGTGGAGTTCTAGGATGCACAAATGAAAACCGTAGTTTTGAATCTGCCACTATGCTGACACACAGGCTTTTGTAGCTCTGCCCTCTTTTGTAAGGAGATCTGGGAGTACAATCTTGGTTAAATTTAAAGTGACAGTCACCAAAACTGCACAATTTAGATCAAAGCCTAAAAGAGGCAGTTTCAAAGAGTTATAAAACATTATTTGTGGGGTGTTTTGAGCTGAAACTTTATTTAGACACTCTATACATCAGAGACTAATTTTACATTTTGTAAAAATGGGCATAATAGGTTCCCTTTATTAGGAAAATATAATGTTGATAATTTAGTGGATATGTTACCGTAAGCAGTAAGAGTCTCGGCTCTTTGAACAGTCAGTAGATGAATTGTCACATTTGGTGGCGTTCCTATGTTAAGTGTTCAGAATACATTGACCTGCATTACATATATCCTAGCAAACCTCGAGAGGCTCACCTTTCTCAAACAAAGGGCTATAAATAAGACTTCGCACAGACTGGCTTGTATTTCGCCACGCAAGTCACTTCAGTCCTCAAGTCCTTATTAAGAATAAATGACCAGCGAAATGTGAGCATGTCAGCCAAACTGTGAGCTAAGCCAATGACGAGGCAGTGTCCAGAAACATACAAGTTAATTCATCAAGTTTTTCCTCTTCAGTCATGTCAATGCTGTGAGATTTCCAGGCTGTGTTTGCGAGACATGTAATTGTCCGTTTTGTTGTGACAACTGGAACCATTGGCTTCCTTCCTCAGGAACCTCCCTGCAAAGTCGGAGGAGGAAGCACAGCGCCACCGTCAGGAGTATGATGAGATGGTGGCGGAGGCCAAGAAGAGAGGTATGCTCTTTTCTTTTTTTTTCTAATTTAAGTTGTCAATAAAAAGGATATCCACGAGGTCTTAAAATGTGTTCAATTCACAGAAATATTGTCTTGTGTGTCTTAAATCATTAATTAATTGACTTTTTTTTTTACTTATTTTCCTCTGTCCAAGTAAAGCTACCCAATCAGGCCGACATCCATCCAATCACCAACAATCCATCTTAATAACAAAAAATCTTAGTAACAATACAAATAAGAAAACCTGGGGATTTTAGCAGCATGTGGATACGTAATTAAATATACAATTGTAAAACAACACTGTGTAAAATTCACTGCGTAAATGGTGCCTAGAAAAATTAATAATCAATCTTTGTGAGTGCAAAAATGTGTCAGTGATCATAAATGTAAATAGAAATATTATTATTTTGAGTTGTATAGTACAATTGATCTTGAGTTTTATGATAATCGCCTCAGTTATTGACATTAATGACAATTGTAGGCCAAAAATAAACGTACAGAAAATGCCTTTATATAAACCAGACTTGTTCACAAAAGAGATTGACCCATACAGTACAATTCCACAATAATGTATCTTGCATAAGTTAGTCATTAAATGAGGAAATGATCAATTTCATGTTGTCTGGAATGCTTTTGGCCCTCTGTTTCGTTAATGTTTAATGTGCTACTTTTGTTCGCAGAGCTAAAAGAGGCTCAGAAGAAGAAAAAGCAGATGAAAGAAAGGTTTAAACAGGAAGAGAGCATCGCTAACGCCATGGTGGTTTGGAACACTGAAATCCTCCCTAACTGGGAGAGCATGTAAGATTTACCACAACCTTCCCTGATAAAGGTTATTGCACACTGAATCCGAATTTGTTGTACTAATTATTCGCCTGGAATTAATTCCAAAAAATACTAAATTAATTCGACAGTATTAACACACTTTCTAAAACTCTGAAACGTTTGTCTGTTATAAAAAAATTATAACCGGCTTCGTTTTATTATAATATTTTTTTTTCAGTTTTTCTCCACCACATAAGCGCTTTGAGAGGCATTTTGCCAGTTCAGAGCCAGTTCAGAGTGTCACTTTATGACAAACGCAGTGCATAATATAAGACAGAATGTGGTGGACATTTGAGAACCAATGTGCTGGATTCAATGACTAGCGCACCTCTCCCCTGCTGCTAAATGTGGTTTATTTATAAAATAATTTCGAGAGGATCACATGCTTATGATTGAACACAGCTGGTCATGCATTATCCAATTCATGATTCACCAATCAGACCATTCCCTGGTCACTATAAATACCCTAAGTTACATATTACAGCCATCTTCGTTTTGAAGAATCCCCCGTTTCCCCCCTGCTCCTCCTGATGGGTGGCACGGTGGCCCAGTGGTTAGCACTGTCGCCTCACAGCAAGACTGTCACTTGTCCTTTACATGTTCTTCTCGTGCTCACATGGGTTTCCCCCAGGGCCCCCCGGTTTCCTCCCACCGTCCAAAAACATGCAACTTAAGTTAATTGACTAAATCCAAATCAACATCATAGATGTTCTTTTAGTAAGAAGTTATATCTTAAGATCAATCCCATCTGTTCATTAGCTACTACAGCAGGGGAGTTTCGAGATCTACCTGAGCTCAAACTCCCCTCTCGCCCTGCAACAGGAGGGAGCCCTGGGCTTGACGATCTTTTGATAAAAAATCGTCAGCTAAGTGTGAACACTTGAATTGGGGTGCGTGTGTCCATACTTTTGATGTACTGCCCGTAGACTTTCTAATAGAAAGCTAGATGCCTTATGGTCTTCTTCAGTCTATTGCTGTAATAAGTCAAGTTGCCACAATCTATTATAATGTCTATGGTACAGCCAGTCTCTGTTCCGGATTTGTTTACGTACGTAATATGTGAAGTACCGCAAGCAATGCATCAAAATCCTCTGATTTCCTAAAATAAACTTTGCATTTGGGGATAATCCAGTGCAGCTCTTTGATAAGGAGCAGAACTAACTCCTTCCTCTCTCTATGCAGTAGTGGGTGAACACAATATGTAGCCTATTCCTCTTTCTTTTTCAACTTTGGAGAAGAGAGGAGAACAAAGTATCGCTGCTTGAATTGACTTCGAATTTTTTTGTGGTTTTTTTACGTGGATTAGTTAATACTCGTTGGGCTCAGTGTGCAAGGTCTGTGTACGCTACCTGACAAAAGTCTTGTCGTAGATCCCAGCTGTAAGAGCAACAAATAATAACTAGACTTCTAGTTGATCATTTGGAAAACCGGCAGAAGGTTTTTCAGATGACTTGTCTGTTGAACCGCATCCCAATCATCACAAATACTGCAGAAGACCTACTGGAACCCGCATAGACCAAAGATTCTCTCAGAATTCAGTCAAGTTTGATGAAAGAAAAATCATGGTTGCATTCAGTTTGGGGTGTGTGAGAGATCTGCAGAGTGGATGGCAACATCAACAGCCTGAGGTACAATACGAATTATATTTTTGTTTGTGCCGGTCCAACTGTGCGATGATGATTTGTTCCGCTTCTTGGAAAATAAGGATTTAATTAACGCTTCACTGCTTCACAGCGAAGTGTTTAATAGCAACATTGGCAGGAAAATATACATTTAGATTTCAAAGAAAATATCTTAATATTAAAAATGAATCATAAGTTTGATCCTATCAATGTCATAACGAATGGCTTTAAATAATGTAGCCTAGTTGTCTTTCTAATGATTAATGAAGGAATTATAATGCTTTGTTTCATTGTTTAACTTTGTTTACAAGTAGCAGAGTATTTACAGCTACTGATTAGGTTACTTCTGTCCGTTCGCATCCTGTCCCTTTGTGGCGACATAATCGCAAACTGCTGTCATACCTGAAAAACACGTTCTTACTCCTTTAGAGCGGCAGCGGTACAGCGTACAGCAGTAATGGCCAAGACATTTGTGCTGCCCATTACATTACAAGCCACAGAATTCTTAAGCAGGATAGCGCTCCTTCTCACACTTCAGCCTCCACATCAAAGTCCCTGAAAGCAAAGAAGGTAAAGGTGCTCCAAGATCGGACAGCTCAGTCACCAGACATGAACATTATTGAGCATGTCTGAGGTAAGATAAAGGAGGAGGCATTGAAGATAAATCCAAAGAATCTTGATGAACTCTAGGAGTCCTGCAAGAACGCTTTCTTTGCCATTCCAGATGACTTTATTAATCGGTGATTTAATTCATTGCAGAGATGTATGGATGCAGTCCTCCAAGCTCATAGGAGTCAGACACAATATTAATTCTTTTTCCACTGCAGCATGACTTCATATTCTATACTGGACATTATTCCTATTAAGTGTAAGCGAAGTCAGACTTTACTCTCCTAATTAAATAATCAAAAATCAAGGCATGATCATATTTTATTTTGGTAAAATAAGCGTAATCTAGAGGCCCTTGCCTTTCATATAGGCTACGTTTGATGCTAAATGATCAACTAGAAGTCAAGTTATGATTTGTTGTTTCTAAAATAGGCGACAAGACTTTTGTCAGGTAGTATTCGTTGCAGATTTTTCAGATATAAATATACGAAAAAAATGTATACAAAAATTTTTCAATGACTTCAATGTGCAAAGACCTGAGCTGTAAACAACATAATCGCTCTGATGCTAAAACTAGATCTGCCGAAGTCAGCAGCATTTCAAGGCATCAAGCTAATCGCTTTCGACAGTTCCAGAATATAACGATAATATCTGTTTTTCAGGCGTGGCACACGGCGTGTGAGGGATCTGTGGTGGCAAGGTCTTCCTCCCAACGTGAGGGGTAAAGTCTGGAGTTTGGCCGTTGGGAATGAGCTGAACATCACCTCAGGTTTTCTTCTGTTTACTCTAGTCTTTTCATGTGTCAGTGCAGAGCCACCTTTGAAGTTGCGCTTAAGCTCTGGATTAGCTAAACCTTTTGGGCGAACGATCTTTTTGGAGTGTGTCATTATGCAGTATTCACATGAACGATGCAGGTTCGCCCGAGGCCGTTTTTTAAAACTTCTTTGTAATGAAAAGGGCCGGAAGATATTTGGATGAGTTTCTTTCTGACACTCCTCAGTAAGAACGATTTCTTAAGCACTTAGGGCTTTCAGAAGTGAAGGTTTGGACTAAGCCGTACACACAGGCCATGTTTTGTGATTAAAGCTGTCTGTAAATTGTAACGCTCTTTCTTTTCTGATTCTTTTTTAGATTTGTATGAGATCTTTCTGTCGCGGGCCAAGGAGCGATGGAAGAGCTTCAGAGAAACGGGCAGTGAGATTGAGTCAGATGGTATGTCTGTGTTCTTCATATCACTTTAGACATGCCAAACTGAAGGAAGGAAGGAATGAATGAATCAGTTCAGCTAATTCACAGTTCTATCCGAGTGATTCATTAGCAGATCATTGATTCTTTTAAATGGGTTTCAACTCATCAACTGTTTATGCACAAATTGCAAACTTTTTGCAAACTCAAATGTATATGTGCAGTGGATATTTACATTTACAAATGGGTATGTAGAGTCTAGCTATGATTATGCACGACACTGTACATACCCATTTGTAGGTGTACATAATGGAGCTAATTATGTACATAATGTAAATACTGAAATGTTTTCAAAAAACTGTCAGTACATTGGACGTGTATCTGAACATCATAAAACAAGTGTTGTTGTGTTTGTTACAGTGGACAGTGCCGACCGCGAGTCTAGTCTGGATCTGATCAAGCTAGACATCTCCCGCACATTCCCATCCCTCTTCATCTTCCAGAAGGTTCTGTTCACTCTCTTTCTCTCACTCTCATATGTAGCATATCAGTTTAATTGTAATATTTCTGTCAGAGTCAGCTCTTTGGTACACTGTAACTCCTGTGTGAGACTCTCGTTGGTTTGTTGTGTTAGGGTGGGCCGTATCATGATCTCCTGCACAGTGTTCTGGGGGCTTACACCTGCTACAGACCTGATGTGGGATATGTAAGTGATCAAACATCTTTTATGTTCCTACACTATTTCTCATTCACATATAAAAACATCACTGAATTGTCAAAAATTGCATTCTATGGACAAACCGTGTGTGTGTGTGTGCGTGCGTGCGTGCGTATATATATATAGAGATATGTATATATATATATATATAGCTATATATAGATATATAGATATATATAAATATATATATAAATATATATATATATAAATTGACCTGTCCACCAAGTTACCTTTACATGCGCGCACACACACACATATAAATATATATACACACACACACACACGCATACATATATATATATATATATATATATATATATATACATATATATATATATATATATATGTGTGTGTGTGTGTGTGTGTGTGTGTGTGTGTATATATTTATATGTGTGCGTGTGCGCGCATGTAAAGGTAACTTGGTGGACAGGTTAATGTACATACATAAGGGACAATAAAAGTGAACAAATGAAGCAAGTATCATAGGTATAAATAAAACAGATAGAAAGAAACCAGTCAGTGGTAAAGAGTAACAACAATGCTTATAATGTATGATAGTGATAATGACAGTAAAAAGAAAGAAAGGACAATAGTAATAATAACTGAAAACAGCAATAATGTTAAACCACAAGTACTACACCCACTACTACTACAGAAAGTTACTAAAATTACAACTACCCTGTACTACTGCTACTACTACTACTACTACTACTACAATGTCTACTACTACTGATACTACTACAACAACGGTCACTACTACTACTATTACTGATACTACTACAGCAATCAATGCTACTACAACATCTACTTTGACAACATCTACTACTTCTGATAATGCTACACCGACCACCACTACTACTACAACTACTACTACTACTACTACTACAACAACACCTTTACTACTTCTAATACCACTATAACAATGACATCTACAGTACTACTACATCTACTACTTCAATAATCCCATCTACAATAGAGCAAATAATTAAAGCTGGACAAATAATAATAATAATAATAATAATAATAATAATAATAATAATAATAATAATAATAGTAAGTAGTTAAAGTGACATTTAAAGGCTAAACTAGGTTAACTAGGCTGGTTAGAGTAATTAGGCAAGTCATTGTATAATGATGGTTTGTTCTGTAGACAATCAAAAAACAATTATTGCTTAAGATGGGTAATAATATTGACTTTAAAATGGTGTTAAAAAAATTAAAAACTGTTTTTATTCTTGCCGAAATAAAACAAATAAGACTTTCTTCAGAAGAAAAAATATTATAGGAAATACTGTGAAAAATTCCTTGCTCTGTTAAGCATCATTTATGAAATATTTGAAAAAGACAAAAAATTCACAGGAGGGCGAATAAATTTGACTTTGACTGTGTGTGACGTCCTTGTAATTCACAAATGCTTCAAAATCATACTTTACTAGTCTAGTCTTGACTTTCAAATTTGGCCACAGGTTTCCTGAGTTATAAGTATAATAAGTGTTGTTTTCTGTATATAATTCATTATGCATATGGAAAGTCCTCATAAATCACCAATACCAACATATGCGTGTGTTTTCCAAACTCTTTTTGCCACTGAAGATGCAATAATTTTGGTCATAAATACAGTAACAATAGTAAGACTGTGAAATACTACTATTGAAAGGAATTGTTTTTAGTTGAATATATTTTTAAATACTATATATTCTTAAATATGTATTCCAGCAATGCAAAGTTGAAGTATCAGTTCTTAAAATACAAAATAATTGCTGAAATGTCTTTGAGTATTTACAAAATTGGAAATTATTGATCATTTTATAAATGGGTGGCACGGTGACTCAGTGGTTAGCACTGTTGCCTCACAGGAAGAAGGTTGCCGGCTGGGCCAGTTGGCATTCCTGTGTGGAGTTTGCATGTTCTCCCCATGTTGGCGTGGGTTTCCTCTGGATGCTCTGGTTTCCCCCACAGTCCAAAGACATGGGCTATAGGTGAAATGAATAAATTAAATTGGCCATTGTGTGTGAATGAGTGCGTGTGGATGTTTCCCAGTACTGGATTCCAGCTGGAAGGACATCCGCTGTGCAAGAAATGCTGGATAAGTTGGTGGTTCATTCCACTGTGGCGACCCCTGATGAATAAAGGGACTAAGCCGAAGGAAAATGAATGAATGAATTTTATAAATTGAATTACAATATGATCAAATTTATGCTTTAATTGATTTTGTAATCGTAATCTTATCCTAAACCAATCTGTCAGGCATATGAATAAAAAGCACTCAAAATAAAATAAAAGACCTGAAAATTAATAGAAAGTTCAAACGAGCAGTATTTATTTTAAAAAAGTTTTTAAGATAATACAAACTTCATATATTTGATGCACCCTTTTTAAATGAATAAAGATGTAATATTGTGTGACGTGCCTTTCTTTTGGCTGCAGGTTCAGGGCATGTCCTTCATTGCTGCTGTGTTGATTCTCAATCTGGAGGAGGCCGATGCTTTCATCGCCTTCGCCAATCTCCTCAACAAACCCTGTCAGATGGCTTTCTTCAGAGTGGACCACGAGCTGGTACTGAGCCTCCCGTTATTTACACTTTACACAATGTGACAAAATATTCCCCCGTTCAAAATAAGCCTAGTGTTTGCTTCAAAACTCAATCACCAAACTATTTTGCACCTCAATAAATATTTATAAAGTTTACCTCTGTCTCAGTTGCTTGTGGGGATTTTCCCTCTTGCAGCTTCAGAATAAATTACAAAGTTCCAATGTTTTGTGTCTTGTGAATTCTGTCTCTTTCTTATTCAGATGCTGAAGTACTTTGCAGCGTTTGAGGTGTTTTTTGAGGAAAACCTGCCCAGACTGTTTAATCACTTCAAGAGTTACAACCTCACGCCTGACCTGTATCTGATAGACTGGTGAGTCCACGATGAGGCCGCTCATTTAGACAAACACCTGAAAAGCCTGGCTCACACTGCAATTATTTTATTTTATTTTTTATAATTTTAAATGATTGTAGCGTGTCAGACTGCACGAACACGACTCCCATGTCACACTGTAAGATCTCAGTTGTCTTATTGTCAGACTGAATGACAATAAAGAAATGCCACACATAAGACAATCCATTTAGAGTTTCACTATCCCGCTTTCTAACTTGATACCTCACGGAAAGCATAAACAAACTGTAATGACAATTTATTGGAATCTTTTTGGATTTCCAAAATGTGTCTCCAAAATTGACCAAATTGTGGCTAAGTAATTATGGGATGAAATTCTCACGTATTGTATTTAATCTTAAATATTAAAACCAAAACCTCAGATGCAAGTGTTTTTCTTCCAGAAGACATTCAAAATATAACAATATGTACAGTGAGTAACACAGATCATGTCCGTTTCAACAGCATTCAATGAATAGTTCACCCAGAAATGATCATTTCTTGAACACAAAACAAAAGAAGATATTTTGAAGAATGTTGTAGCTTTTATACTGCATTAAACACAATTTCTTACAGGAGTGACATTTACTATTGAGTATAGTAATACAATTATTATTGTGACTGCATTTCTGAACAAAACTAATGCATCTTTAGTGGCCAAAAGAGATTTTTAAGAACACACACACTCAGTTTGTGAATTTAAAGCCATTGACTTCCACTATCATTTGTGTTCTGCCAAGGAAATGAATGGTTACCGGTTTCCAACATTCTTCAAATTATCTTCTTTTGTGTTCAACAGAAGAAAGACACTCAAACAGGTTTCTGCCAGAGGATACGCACAATATAATAATACTGTATTTAAAGTGACTACGAAAATGTCAGCTTCTACAGCATTAAATAGGTATCTCACCCAAAAATGATTATTTCCTAAACACAAAACACAAGAAGATATTTTGAAGAATGTTGTAGCTTTTAAGACTATATGAGGAAATTAACATTTTACAATCTGCTGCTTTAAAAAAAAATCCATATAGTGGTATCTTTAGTGGCCAAAAGAGACTTTCATGAACACACACACACAGTTTGACTTCCACTGTCATTTTTTTTTACTAAGGAAATAAATGGTTACTGGTTTCCAACATTCTTCAGATTATCTTCTTTTGTGTTCAACAGAAGAAAGACACTAAAACAGGTTTGGAACCATTTAAGGGAGACTAAATGATGACAGAATATTCCTTTATGGGTGAACTATTCCTTTAAGACAACAATTAGTATATTATTGCAGACAATACTATTCTGCACCCCTTGCAAGTAAAGTAAATACAGTATATTAGACTATTAAAGTTTGAGGCTGTGTTCCTTTCAGTATAAGTTTTGTGGCCGTGTAGTCTAAATGAAACCCTACCCAATAATGTACTGTTTAATTCCAAATTCAGTACCATTATTATAAACAGAGACTTTAATGAATCTGTTTGAATCTCAAATATTAAAAGCAAAACATCAGATGCAAGTGCTTGATGATACGCACAATATAATAATGTGTAAAGTGAGTGACTCGGATAATGTCTGTTTCGACAGCATTAAATGGATAGCTCACCCAAATATTATCATTTTTTAACACAAAACAAAAGAAGATATTTTGAAGAATGTTTTAGACTTTATACTGCATTACAAACAATTCCTTGCAGGAGTAACATTTACTATTGAGTATAGTAATACAAATACTATTGCTACTGCATTTCTGACCAAAACAATGCATCTTTAGTGACCAAAAGAGACTTTCAAGACCACACACACAGTTTGTGAACTTGTAGCCATCGACTTCCATAGTAATTGTTTTCTATTAGGGAAATCAGTGGTTACCGGTTTCCAACATTCTTCAAAATAACTTTCTTGTGTTTAACAGAAGAAAAAACTCAAACAGGTTTGGAACCAGTTAAGGGTCCTTAACCCTACAAAATAGTGTACTGTTTTATTCTAAATTAAGTACAATTATTATAAATGGAGAGTTTAATGAATCTGTTTGAATCTCAAAAATTAAAAGCAAAACATCAGATGCAATGCTTTCCTTTCAGAGGATACGCACAATATAATAATGTGTAAAGCAGGGGTGTTCAAAGTTAGTCCTGGAGAGCCGGTGTCCTGCTGACTTTATCTCCAACATTCTTCAGCACACCTGCCTGGAAGTCTCTAGCACAGTGGTTCTCAAAGTGGGGGTCGGGACCCCCCGGGGGGTCGCGGGACAATGAGAGGGGGTCGCTTGGTGATTTACAAAAATTTGAACAAACTTTTATGATTACCATTGTTAATCCATAACCTACAGAAGATAAAAAAATAGTTACATAAAAAAATACAGTATCCAAACAAAAAGCCATCAGCCTTTGGTTTTTTTATTTTTTATTATTATTATTTTTTTTTACATTGATTGCAACCCTTAGGGTTTTTACATTAGATTAATGACAAAGCAATGACAAAGCAATAGCGTCAGTGCACCAGATTCTACAGCACTAGCTAAACTTTCTGACACCGTTACAGCACTCGCTTACATTTAAAATACATACAGGACACTAAACATGGAGTATGATGTGTAAGTGCCAGTCTCCAAAATTAAACCAAGAAAAGACTTGGGATGTAACTTAAATATTGTGCCCACCAGTCTAATTAGATGAGGTTAATATAAAATAATCATAATAAAAATGATATGGGACTGTTGCACTTTTTTTGTGTTGTCAATATGCTTGTGTTTATATAGGCTGATTGGTTTGTGTGAGTGTTGCGTGCAACGTTTGTATGATATATAAATGGTTATGGTATAACCACTTATGAAAGTAGTGGGGGTCGCGAGTCATTGGCATTGTTATTTTGGGGGTCCCGGGCTGAAAAGATTGAGAACCCCTGCTCTAGCATACCTAGTAAGAGCTTGATTGGCTTGTTCAGGTGTGTTTGATTAGGGAAGGAGCTAAACTCTTCAGGACACTGCCCCTCCAGGACCAAGTGTGGACACCCCTGGTGTAAAGCGAATGACACAGATCTTGTCAGCATTAAATGGATAGCTCACCCAGAAATGATCATTTTTTGAACACAAAATAAAAGAAGATATTTTGAAGAATGTTGTAGCTTCTATACTGCATTAAATTTCTTACCACAGTAACGTTTACTATTGAGTATAGTACTACACTTTACTCAATTGTACTCAAATGTACTAATACAATTACTGGTTTCCAACATTCTTCAAAATATCTTCTTTTTTGTTTAAGAGAAGAAAAACCCCAAATATGTTTGGAACCCCTTAACTAGCATAAATGATGACAGAATATTCCTTTTTGGGTGAACTAACACTCTACGGCAACAATTGGCATATTATTGATGAACCCCTAGCAAGTAAAGTTATTAAAGTATAGTAGACTAGTAAAGTTTGAGGCTGTGTTCCATTCAATATCAGGTTTCTGGACGTGAAGACAGAAAAAAACCCTTATTGTCCTTTTCTTTATCTCTGTGTAAAATGTTTCTTCCTAAATGTGTGCATCTGCAGGATCTTCACGCTGTACGCTAAGTCTCTGCCGCTGGATGTGGCGTGTCGGGTGTGGGACGTCTTCTGCAGGGACGGAGAGGAGTTTTTGTTCAGGACAGGGCTGGGTATCCTGCGGCTCTACGAGGAACTGCTTCTGCAGATGGATTTCATTCACAGTGCTCAGTTTCTGACCCGTCTGCCGGACGACACGCCGCCTGAACGCCTCTTCAGCTGCATCGCCAGCACGCAGATGATCAGCAGCAACAGGAAGTGGACACAGGTCAGTGGAACTTGAGTGAGCTAAAGTTAGTTTTATATTCGCACATTCAGACTTTCTCCTTAATATAATTTCAGAAAAGTATTCTTTGCAATTTATAATAGAGAAATTATATTCGCAGCAAATGACTATCAAAGTACAAAACTGCTTACAGTCAGTGAAATAGTGATGATGTTGTTTTGAACTCATGCTTGCATCTGATTTCAGACCAAATATTTAAAGTACAATACAGGGAGTGTATCACAAGTGGTCACTGTTAAAAAATAAAGGAATGTGCAACTATAAAACCAACTTCACCTCAACTGGAACTTGTGTGTGAGGCAGACTGGACATTAAATGCAAGTTTAGCTTTCTCCAAGTAATGTTTTGCATCACTTCTAATAATAGATAGCTAGGCAAATGAAGCTGTGTTGAGGAAATGGCAGAATTTGCATGTTTTCAGTAAACTAACACCTTGTTGTGTTGAGAGTAGCTCCATCTGCAGGGGGTTTCAAACATGTGAAAGAGTTCTAATATGCTTTTGACATGTTACACAGCTTTTTTGTGTATGAAAAACTCCAAAGACATCACATCTGTAGTTTTGAGTTTTCTTCAAGGAACAAACATCAATCATTCCTGGTTGAGTTGGGTTAGAAGTTTGTCTTTATTTTCAAGAGGTGCAGTTTTAAAGGTCTAATATCTGATGCTCATGAGACTCTTATTTCCAACTGCTCACATTTACAGACATAAATATAACGGGAAACTTTTGACTCAGGGTCTACTCGCACTATGCTATCCGAACCGTGCCCAGGCCCGTCTCCCGGATCGTTTGAGAAGTGTTAAGGCTGATTTATACTTCTGTGTCAAGCGCACGCGTATGCTACGGCGCTGACGCATAGCCCTACGCCGTGGCCGTGGTGGACGTGCACCTCTCAAACAATGTAACTACACATCGCAATGACACGTAGCGCAAGCTCTGTGATGGTCGGCTTGGTAGCGCTGACGAGTCTTGGCGGGACCGAGAGCCGTGCGAGTGGTGCGAGCCCAATGAAGCGATTGTTTACAAGTGTGGAGTCCCGCGAAGGAGCTCCTTATGGAAAGTTTTGTTTTGTGTGTACCTCATAGTTAAAATTGTTGCACGTCCGCCGGTTCCTGCCTCAAAATGAGCGAGTTTGAGCCACTTGTACATCCAGGAAGTGTTCAGAAAGAACAAAACACCAGCGAAGAAATTTGACACAGAGGAACATTAACACCTCACTGCCAACTAGCGTTTTGGAAGTGTTAATGCAGACCAACAGAGACAGAGCGCAGAAGTATAAATGCACAGCTACGCGCGTTACATGCGCCGTTGGTTACGCCGGTCACTTGACACAGAACTATAAAACAGGCTTTGGTGCTCTGAATCGGGCTCAGGCACGGTTCACTTGGCCAGCCCTGGCCCGTTGGAAGAGGTGTGGACGTTGGAGCGCGGTTCACTTAGGCTTAGGCGCGGTACGCTTGTGTGTGAGTGCAAAACGCACCTAAGCCGAAACTGAAAGCGAGATGTGAGTTTTAAGGGGTTGTTTCATATGGATTTATTAATCATTCTTACCGTTCAATGAATGCAAACTGTCGTAGTTTATTAAAGACACAAACCTGCGCACCTTCATCAAACCTCCTAATTCCTGCAGCACGAGGACTTTATGATTGTTTATGAGCGTCAAAAGTGGCGGATCTGTTCGGCGAAATATTTGACTGCGTGGCACTGCATATCAAACAACTTAAACGATATAACTGAAGAAATCTCCACTGTGTTGAGCGAGAGCGTTTACTGAACAGCGCATCATCAATGACCTAATCGTGCCCAGGCCTGAACGTAATGAGAGTGCGGGCCGTCGGAGGAGGCAGGAGGGAGGACAAGCGCTTCAAGGCTTCTACAGTTCAAGGCAACTGTACATAGTGAGAGTAAGCCCTAGGTCTAAAGATCTAAATTAGGGCTGCACGGTATTGGAAAAATTTTACATTGCAATATTTTTTTCACTGCGATATATAATGCCATTTGCGAGTCTATAATTTTATTAATAATGGTCTTATAAATGTCTTAAAAAGTCTTAAATTTAACTTGGTGCAACCTGCAGAAACCCTGTAATCATTTTAATCATTTTAATTTCACTTTTTTTTTTTCTAGTGAAAAAATGCTATATATGTATTTTTCATTATTTGTTTATGCTGTCAATTATATTTATTGAAAAGAAAATTAGTATCCAGCATTTGTTTTGTGCAGCGGATGCCCTTCCAGCCGCAACCCATCACTGGGAAACATCCATACACTCTTGCATTCATACACATACACTACGGCCAATTTAGCCAATCATGTATTTGGACTGTGGGGGAAACCCACGCCAACACGGCGAGAACATGCAAACTCCAAACAGAAATGCCAACTGACCCGACCTTCTTGCTGTGAGGCGATCGTGCTACCCACTGCGCCACCGTGACCCCCTATCATAATATGTGCTTCTCTATTAATGCTAATATTGTATCTCTTTCTCTCCTCCAGGTGTTTAACGCCCTCATAAAGGATAAAGAAATGGAAAAAAGCAGCGTTCCTTCAGTGAAGAACTCTTGAACTCTCCTCAGTTTTGTATTCCCGATTGACCATATTGAATAGAAGGAAGGATTAAATAAAACTCAAAGAAATGAAGAAAAAGCTAAACTTGACTTCTTTGAAACCACGCCAGTATTAAGATAAATATTTATATGACTTCAGAAGCCTTTATGAGAAACATATTCCACCAGCTTTACTCGCGTACTGTACCAGATACCAGCATCAGGCTTTTTATTGTAATATTCCTCCTTATGGAAAGTCCTATTCGGTGAAGCTGATCGTCACATAACTCATTTTGTATGCTGAAGATTGTTTTGCAGCATTCATTCAGAGCCTGTTTAATGCACTTGAGATTTTAACAATAGAATAGTGAGAGAAAAAAAAGGTGATGTTTTTAAGCTGTCGTTTTGTAGGTGAAGAGCTTAAAAGGTGCATTAGTAAATGTACAAATGAGTCAGATGCAGTTAATGAGTGTCTTGAGGTTTTTAAAAGCATTTCGCTGCTTGTTGCCGAAGAATTATCGCATTATTTAAGTCAACAGCCCTTCTTTTAAAACACTAATATGTAGCTTCCTTTGACAACTAAATTATATTAAAGGTGCTGTATGTAAGTTTGACTCTTCCAAAGCATTAAAATAGCATAACATGTTTGCAGATATTTAAGAAACGTGCTAAGCTAACATTCTTGTTTATCTGAAAAACAATTCTGAAGTCAGATATTTTGCTGTGTAAATGTGTGTTACATGCCGAAACGTCTGTCTTTGTTTTGGTCTCTTTAACGCAGCCATTGCAGGTTTAGCCAGTTATATTTCAGCACCTCGGGTTGCCTTGGTGGAAAACAGCATATTTCAATTAGTCATTCAGAAAAGCTCTCAAAGCATGTGTCCGTGACCAATATGCGACTTCCGGTGGACAGTAGTAGACTCCGAAATGAGACGCAGATTCAGAGTTCCACATGAGGATATTAATAAGTATATAAATACATAAACATTACAATTGTAAACATGAGGTGAGCAGGTTACATTAGCTATGCTTCTATCCAAAAAATGCGAATTAACTTTATGTGCAAAACTGGATTATCGCATAAAATATGTGCGAATAAAGCAGCGTTTCCATCCAACAAATCAAACTGAACCAAAATCGTCACTTCCTGATTAACCAGCGTCAAATATCAACATTAAAAGCGGAATGAGCTGCGATAAGAGAAGCTGCGTGAGTCTTTTCTTCATTTAATATATGACATTTAATATATGACAGTGAATGCGCGGTGCGTTTGAAGGTGTCAGACGCAGAGCACAGACGCTCTTGATTCTGGAGTTCATGAATAATATAATACCACTAAAAAGGCGTTTCAGAATTACCAAAACAACACTTACGATGTTTTACAATGTGCTCAGCTGCTGGTTTGTCCATTCGCACACATTTTTATCATCGCATGATCTCTTATAACAAAATCACATGACCCTTTTTTAATGCGCATACTGAAATTTGAAAAGTGTTTCCATCGCAGTTTATGCAGATCTTTTCTTATCGAATGAAAAGTTTATGGTGGATGGAAGCGTAGCTACAATTTAGGCGGATAGCTAACGTAGCTAACCCAGTGTCCTAACAACATGCTACGTGATGAGATTTACAATGTTAAGCAATTTGGTTGTTTGAAATTTAAATACAGCCATTCAGAAGCACAACTAGTGCCCTTACTGCACTCCAACTAAATGGAAAGGTTTATAATCTAATTAATACATATGAAACATATTAAACCTCTTTAACATTATTCATTTCTGTCCGTTCGCATCCCGTCCCCCTGGTGGCTTATTCACAAACTGCGGTCATACACTAAAAACAGAGCGGCAGCAATTTCAAAAGGCGGCGGTTTAAGCCCTGGCGGTAATAGTCACTTTGAACTCTCACCTACTGTAGAATCTGAATCACTGATATGTGTTGGCTTCATTTCTAAAGTTAATTTCTAAAGTCACAGTTCTAAAGTTCAATTTCAAATGGTTTATTTTATTGTCAAGATCTGAGGCGAACTGTCTGCTGCTGCTTTCAGTAGTATGCCAAAAAAATGTCATGTAAAACAGCGTTCAAACTGACATTATTAGCATTTAACACTGTATAAAGCACATAAGGTGTACCTGAGGTGGTCATTGTCAGTTTATCCTGTTGTTCAGTTGCAAGAAATAGAAACTGAAATATCAATTTCAGGTATTGTATAGGACAAAAACTCCTTTTAATATGAACATATTTCTTCTATTGCGTGCCCCTGCTTTTATTTAGAACATGACTTAAATCAGCCTTTAGCCTCGCTAGTCAGGCACACTACTGTTGGTGTCCTCAATCTGGCAACCTGCAATTGCGTGTGTTTTGAACCAGGAGTGCAATACCTAGTTCAACCACTAGGTTTCAAACTTACATACTGCACCATTAATGTTAAGCTGCCTTTCCTCTGTATACGACAGACCGGAAGTCATTCCTGAGCTGCGTGGAGTACCGATCACCTCCGTATGCGGAAATTCGGATCCGATTTGACCTGCCGATAGGTTGTAACATTTGGACTCCTGCAACTAAACTGTATGCAACCGGCCGACCAGATGTGATTCATTCCAGTGTTGTTCAAGCAGGTCTGTGTGCGCGAGATGAGAAATAGAAGTTTTTTGGTTATTTTTTGAATCTGAAAAAGTTTAAATAATTAAAAAAAAAACATTTCTATTCATAAATGAGTAATAAAAATGATTATTTTCTAATGTTGTCTCCACATTCCCTTCAAAATTTTTAGCTGTCTATGAGTTTCTAGTATTTATTTATTCAACCATGGTGAATGCACGAAGAATAAAGCCTCTTGCTTATACACTCCTTTATTTCGGACGCTGCGAGAACAGCGTCTCTCGCATGGTGCGCGACAAAGCTGAAAATTCTGTCCGACAGCCACAAGGGGGCGTGTTACGACAGTCGTGTCCTAATGTCATGTGCAGTGGAAAGGCACCTTTAGTGTGACAGAAGCGCGGAATCATCATCATTCATTCGGAGAACTGTGAGGTACATTTTCTAACATGTTAAAGAATAAGAATGTGTGGTGAAATAATTCAATTTGTGTCTTTTTTTGTCTGCTCTGTGTTCAGTTGTTTGACTAAATGCTTTGTTCATCATGGATTTTAAGCCCAATGTGTGTAAATATTGGGTCGATTTGGTAATGTTGTATCTTAATGAAAAATGTAAATTGTATCATCGAGTCTTGGTTTGTTTTCTACACACTCCTGATTTTATTGTACAGTTTTCATACTCCAGTGAAACTGAGTTGTAAATAAGTGAACTATTTGACACCATGAGATTCAAACCTGTAAATAAATCTGAAACTGCGTTAGTAGTGTTTGTGTGTTACTTAAGCAGTGCGTTGATTAAAAGTGTGTTGTATTCTCTCTATACATTTTAACACTATAGAAGAAGGTTGTATTGATTATAGGTGCCATTTTACTTTAGTCTTTAAATAAAAACTTGACTTAAGGCAGTGTTTCTCAACCATGTACCTGAAGGACCACCAACACTGCATGTCTTAGATGTCTCCTTTGTCTGTTACCCCCATTACAGGTGTTTCAGTCTCTGCTAATGAGCTGATGATCTGAATCAGGTGTGTTTTTTTAAGGTGACATGGTAATTGTGCAGTGCCGTGGTCCTCCAGGAACGTGGTTGAGAAACACAGCCTTAAAGGGATGGTTCTCACCAAAATTTAAACTCTGTCATCATTTACTCACCATTCACTTGTTTACAAAACTTATTTCTGTTTCTTTCTTCTGTTAAACACAAAAGAAGATATTTGGAACAATGTTGGAAACCAGTAACCCATGACTTCCATAGTATAGTATTATTCCATAGTGGATGTCAGTGGTTTTGAGTACATTTTCAGTTTTGGCCGAACTATACCTTTAAATCAGGAATGGGCTAACTTGATCCTGGAGGGCCAGTGTCCCTGCCTAGTTTTGCTCCAACACTACTTAAACACACTAATCAGTGTTTTCAAAACTACTAGAAAACTATACAGGCAGGTGTGTTTGATTAGGGTTGGAGCAAAACTATGCAGGACACTGGCCCCTGGCTTTAAATGTTAAGCACAAACAATACTTCTGAGTGTAATGAATAAAGAGAATAGATGATCATTTATATAAAACATATTAATTTAAAAGACTTCACATTTAAAGGGATAGTTCACCCAAAATTGAAAACGTACTCATTTACTTCCTTATTTGACTTTCCTACTATAGATGTTAGTGATGAGTAGCCCTACATTTTAATTTTTGGGAGAACTTTAAATGTCAAGCACAAACAATATTTCTAAGCGTAATGAACAAAGAGAATATATAGGATAACTTGTATAAACATCATTTCAAGAGTTCACACTTAGCTGATGATTGGTAATAAGCTAGTTTAGCATGCTGTCCCTGGAGAGAGCCCCGAGCTCATGAGAGCCGTTGCAGGGCGAGAGGGGAGTTTGAGCTCGGGTGGATCTCGAGAACAGCCTCCCCCCCTTCCTGCTACGTGAGGGTTGCTAAGGTAATGCGTTGCTGGCAGAATTTAATCGAATTTGGTGCTAATTTGGTTTAGTCAATTTACTTAAGTATCATGTTTTTGGGAGTGTGGGAGAAAACCGGAGGACCCAGGGAAAACCCACACAAGCACAGGGAGAACATGAACTCCACACGAAAATGCTGATCGTTTGGGTTGATGCCCGAACCGGAGGCATTTTGCTGTGAGGCCGCAGTGCTAGCCACTGGGCCGCCGTGCTGCCCTGTAGACAAAAGAGGAGGCGAAGGGGTGGAAGGGGGGATTCTTCAAGACGAAGATGACTAAAGGTAAGGTGTTTGGTTATTTATACTTGGTTAGGAATAGTCTGATTGGTGGCACGATCATTGGCTTGACTCGGTTTATGAATAAACTTCACTTGAATTTAATAAGACGTTTAAGACTTCACATTTAAAGGGATAGTTCACTCAATATTTAAAATGTTCCCATCCCCAGACTTCCATAGTATTTGATTTTCTTTCTATGGATGTCAATGATGTTCATTTTCATTTTTGAGCGAACTATCCCTTTAAATCTTAAGCACAAACAAAGTCCAAAGGTAATGAATATAATATAGTCTATAAGATAATTGGTATAAAACATATTAATTTAATGAGAGTTTTAAAGTGTGGTTGAATCTGTCAATGTGTATTGTAATCCGATAAGAGCCTGCTCAGTTAGACTGATCAAAAGCTTCTTCCCACAGGCCGTTAGAGCCCTCAACTCCAGTCAACTTAATATAGTTAACTTACAGGTGAGTGGGCTTAACAAACCATCTGTATGAAGGACACCCTCTCATATCTCTGACTCTTGCACCAGGTTGCACATTTGCACTATAGACACTTTCTTAATCACTCCGTGTCTCTTGGAAACAATGTGCATTCCAACTTGTGCTTCATTCAGGTGAGTGGGCTTGACAAACCACCTGTAGAAACACTCTTCTCTCTTATGCACCTGACACTTTATCTAAACTCATTTTACATCTCAATAATGAAAACGATGTTTACTACCACAATCTTGCACGGCTTGCTTCAACATTAAATAACTCTTGCACACTATTAAACCTTAAATACCTCACAAAATTCACCTTTAATAACTCTCTTGCGCAATATCCTGGACAACATTGTTCAGTCTCATGTAAAAGTACTTGCCTGTCTTATGTGTGTATAGTATTTTATAGTATATGTTAGTTATGCATTGTTTATTTTTTATTTTTTTTTAAATAGCTCTTATGTCCAGTGTTGGGTTTGTATTAATGATTAATTTATAGCACCGTTTTCCTGTGAAACACGACATTTCAATCCTCTGTATGACAATTAGACTCGATTTGACTAATACGACTGAGCTAAAGTTGGTTTTGTATTTGCACATTCATTTAGTGACAACACTCCCTAAATTGTTTAGCATGGTACTTTGAATATTCGGTCGGAAATCAAATGTAAGTATAGCTACAAAACAGCATCAGCACTATTTGATTGACTTTGAACAATTAAGTACTTTATTAGTCATAGACTGCTAATGTGATTACACTCTTTAGAATTTGTAATTGATACTTTGTAATATTATATTATATTATATTATATTATATTATATTATATTATATTATATTATATTATATTAATTATATTATATTATATTATATTATATTATATTATATTATATTATATTATATTATATTATATTATATTATATTATATTATATTATATTATATTATATTATCAAGGAGAAAGTCTGAATGTGTGAATCTAAAGTCAACTTTACCTCAGTATTAATACCTTTTGTAGGTATTCGTTTCTCCAGGCCACAAGATGGCGCGTGAAGGCGGTGTGTGCGGGGTTCATCTAGTTTTCTCCATTAGTTTACTTCCTGTCCATGTGGTGCGTGTTTGAAGAGTGGATTCATGCACTCTTCAGTTTTAGGATTAAACTGAATCACACGTTTGAATTATTGTCGACCTTAAGTCAAATCATCGCTCAAAATGGGCCCGGTAAGTCATTTTTTGATTGTCACAAAAAAAAAAAAAACGCGTGTGTGTATTTATTAAAACTTCAGCTGCTGTTGGTCATGTTTCTCAGTGAACTGCTGCTTCATTATCCTAAATTGTGTTTTTAAGAGGAATATTCGAGACCGAATAGTCTTTATTTCAATATATTGTATTAGTCAAAACGTTGCCGAGTCACATGTAATGAAATAATAACGTAAAACCTTCCGTGTCATATTGTTTAACAGTTACTGGTGTAATCCATACAGCATCAAACCACAGTATTGTCATTTATTTCATGTCGAAAAACATTTTTTATGGTTATTTTAATCAACAAAAGTGGTGTAATAATATATATATATATATATATATATATATATATATATATATATATATATATATATATATATATATATATATACACACACACACATACATATATACATGTATATATATATATATCTATGGGCCATTTACTGTAACAGAGGTTGGTTTTATATTTGCACATTCGTTTATTCAGTCTCTATGTTGTTTACCATTTTACTTTGAATATTCGATCAGAATTAGCATGCAAGTATGACTATAAAAAATTAACACTGTTTAATTGACTGTAAACAATGCTGTACTTTGATAATCATTGGCTGTTAATATTATTTCCCTATTTATAATTTGCAAAGAATACTTTTTCTGAAACTATATTATTAAGGAGAATGTCTGAATATCCGAATATACAACCAACTTTACCTCTGTGTTTACTAGAGTTGGTTTTATATTCGAACGGGATACATCTTAATGTACAAACTAATTAAAGCTGTTTCATTCTTTTATTGCTCTGTTGCTCGAATAAAAACACTTTCATCATTGTCCTGATTCATATATGAAGAAGTTACGGCTTATTTATATTTGTTGTGAGCAATTCCATGCAAATGTCAACCTTGCCATGAAAAAAAAGAAGTTTTTTTGTGTAGGCTTTAGTTTAACAGTACTTAAAAAATACTCTAAATGTCTCTGTCAAGGTTTTAAAACCAATGTAAACCAATAACCCAAGTCACACAAGTCCAATTTCACATCTGCCACATCAATAACAAAGCTTTTTGTCAAAATCAATAGTTTTTGTTCTATAGTGAGCCGAATATCATTCTTTTGATTAGCATTATTTCTTATAGATTGTGCAGTTTAATTCACTGAATTTTTACAAAGTTTGTTATATACAGTGCTCAGCATAATAGGAGTACACCCCATTTTAAAAAATTATTTTTTTTCTTCTTTTCTCAGTGAATTTAGGCGATGTATTTTGGTGCATTTAAACAAAACATATTTATTAAACATATGTATTAAAATAATGTTTTAGTGACCAAACATTTTCATTAGAAAATGAAAGTTAATGCAATTAAATTCAAGCTAAATATTGCAAAATTAAATTACAACCTACAAAATTTCAACTTAATTTTTCCTTTTTTTTTTTTTTTTTTTTGCTTCTCTTGACTTTTCCTCTTTTAAAAATTTAGATTTAATATTTTTCTATAACAAATTTGTGTGTACTAGTTTTTGGACCGTTATCGTAAGTTTTTTGTAAGGTTTTGTTAGATAAGCTCCAGATTTGGCTTCAGTACTGACTAATCTAATGTATATGCACACAAAATATTGTAGAGCTTCCTATTCAAATCCGATTTTTTGTTTTTGTTTTTTTGGTCACATCCATAATGTTGTTAATGTGTACATATTGTTATAATGTTAACAAATACTTTCTATGTGAATTAATGGTTTAAGATTTTACTGCAAATGCCACACTGGAATTGCTCATGTACATTAGCATCCATGATTCATCTGTGTGTTAATCTGTATTTTACTCAAGGCTTCTAAAAGAAACAAGAAAAAGAGGCCTAGCTTCAGAAAGTTACTGAAAACCAGTAACCTGAAGCTAGAAAACAAACTGAAGAATCGGCAGTTTAAGCAACAGAGTTCGGCTAAAAAACAACGCAAAGAGCAGAGGAAACTCCACAAGGCCATTTCTGATGTTTCCCATCAGACCCTCAAACCCCTGGAGCGCTACAAGAAGAGACCCGGTGAGCCAACATTGGTTTCTGGGTTGTTTTGCATGAGCTCAGTGCTGTTGGAGTTTTGTAATGTTGATGTTGGATTACAGAGGATGAAGAGGAGGAGGAAGAGTTCCTGGAGTCTCTGCCCACAGATATGATGGATGAAGATGATCTGGAACACATCAGAGCCATCGCACAGAAAGCCTCTTTTCTGACCCGCGACCTCTCTTCATGGTAAGCTCAGAGTTAAACACGTGCAGTACGCAAATCACTAGATATTTCTTTCTTAACAGACTCTTATGCCACGGTCACACTACAGATTGAGCATGCAAAATTCTGTTGGATGGCGCTGCGAAATAGGGCGAGATTAAACAAGATGACTAGACATTAAAAAGTGGTGATTAAAGAGTGGTGGGTCCATATTTACAATTTTTGTCCAGAGAGGTCATGTTTTGTTCTTCGATTGGTCTCACACAGTCACATGATGTTATTTTGCTGGTAAGACTTCACCAGGCTTGAACTTTCCAATGCAGCGAACTGCGAAACTTGTTGCTCGAGCTTGCGTTTTCGGTCTGATGCATTAGCATGCATATTTATGAATGGAAGTCTTGTGCAGTGTGGCCACGGCTTTAGGTTATTAAGAAGGTTTAGGTTATTAAATTTTTTCCCAGCTTTTATTTTATTCATTATATTATTATTATTATTATTATTATTATTACTTTTAAATATTTTTTTTTTATAAATTTGTTTTGATGGACAAAATTTTTCATCAAATGACTTTATATAATTATTTATTATTCTTATTTATGATAATTATTATCAATATTTAAATAATATTACAATTATCATATTAATCAAAAAGATTCCTTTTTTATTTGTCTTACATTTTTCGGGATTTATGATTCACTAAATATTTATTGACAAGCATTTTAATAAAATGCATATTTATTTTGCACAACTTTTTGTATTTACTACAGAGAACAATTCAGTAAAAATAATGTTTTATATATATATATATATATATATATATATATATATATATATAATTTGATGAGTGCATTTTAAATGACAATAATAATGCATTTCTGTCGCAACTTTTCAAAACCAAACTTTTACCTTGGCAGGTTTTAGTAAAGGCCTTTGTCTCTAATGTGCGTGCATTTCTTTGCCAAAGAATGGTGAAATGCTGTTGCTTCTGTTGATAAAGTTCACATTTATGTCTTGATGTTTCTCGTTTTGTGTAATTGCAGTGCTCCAGTACATGCCAAAAAGCATAAGTCTGAGCAGGCGCTGGAGAATTATGAGAAGATGCCCAGAAAGATGCAGCAGGAGGAAGAGAAAGAGCTTATTCACTTGCTGCCCATCAAAGACAAGAGTGGCCTGATCCCTCAGAGCATGGAGAAACCTGGTGCGTATGTGTCTGTGTGCGCGTCTGTGTGTCCACTGCAGTCATGCGACTCCTCAGAGGGTGCTTGATCATTAAATGTGTTGTTTCATTGTGTTCCTTAGTTTTACCACAGGCAGAAGAAGAAGAAGAGGAACCAAACCAGGAGGTTTACTTACAAAAAGGTTTGTGGAAATTTGTACACACATATTATAAAAATAAAGGTAATTTTAAGGGTCAGTTTAAGAAGTTGTGTTGTAGTTTTTTGATGCTCTAAATTTGTAAGTGTTTTAAGTTTAAATTGTAAGTTAATTTTATTTAAAAATGAAGTTTAGCTTTTAGAGCTGGGTAAAAATTCATAGTAATTAATTGCATTCACAAAAAAAGTTTCTTTTGACAATGTGTGTGTGTGTGTTTATTATGTGTGTGTGTGTATATATGCATGCATATATTTGAGAAAATGGATTTATATTAAGATATAAAATATATATGTATATAATACAAATTATATATACATTTAAATATCTTTGCAACAAAATTTTTTTTTACAGTTTTGTTTCCATCACATAAACAAAATAAATATTTAAAATACACACACATGTATATTATGTCAAATAACTTTTGTTTTGGATGCAATCAATCTTTGCCCAGCACTAATGTTTTTATGATTTGATATGATTGTGGTATGTAAAAAGTTCCTCCTTTCAATTTCTGCCCTAATTTTTTTTAGATTAGTAGAAATAAAAGTCCACTTTGCTATTTCTCAAGTATTATCCTCAATTATCTCAGTAAGGCTGCTGGATTTTTAAAAATACATTTTAAAGTAGGTTACAATATAAACTAGTAGCTTTACTTAGTAAAAATTTAGCACAAGAGTCTTCTTAAAAAAACTGTTTATGCATAATTTTTATTGTTTAGTACAGTGGTTCTCAAACTTTTTTCCTCAAGTACCACCTCAGAAAAAAATAGTCTCTCCAAGTACCACCAAAAATGAGCAGTATTGAAATACAATAGCGTAGTAGACCCAGTACAGCAGCTACACCTCTGCACACTTAAAGGGCCATGAAACCCCCTCGTTTCAGCAGGGTGTTTTCACACCTCTACTTTGGAAAAAGTCAGAAAAGTGGGCGTGTCCAGCTTTGTTTAGGGGGGAGTGTCGGAGGAAGAAAAGAGGCTTGGTGTGGGAGTGTCTATTTGGGCACGCGCGAGTTTCAGAGTCAAAACACACAACCACAGCGGACAATGTGACTGTGTTTACATGGACATCTGTAGTCGAATTATTTGCCAAATGGTGGACTTTAACTGCAGTTTATCTCTTTCATTCAGGGAATTCATTCATGTCACTCCCGACAAACGCGATATTTGATTCGAGGAACTGCTCTAAGCGTGTATTTTTCATGCAATGTTTGATACCGCACGGCGAATGAGAGAAAAAAAACTCAGCATTTCCCGGAAACTTAGATGCACACGGCAGGTAGCGTCAGAAAGCCGCGTGTGTTATTCCGGTCACAAAATCCAACACGAGGTTATAGTTTAATTGTAACTGTTAGTGCTAACTTGTTTACACTCGGTGCAATAGTTTGTTTGATACGAATAAAATACGAACTGAATAAACAAAGAGCACTGTTCGCTCACTTACCAAATCTGTAGAGACAGGAAAATCCACAGCAACTAGAGCCGCGTCTTTATTTAGAGGAGACTACAAGCGAATCCGGATCTCAGCGTTTGCAGATGAGAACAGCTCTCAGGTAAACAATGTTCCTCCTTAGACATGTAAGTTGTTGTCGAGCGTCGCTTACACTGTAATCCACACGTGACTTCAGCTGCGCTCTCACAGAGAGAAAATGAAAACAAAACTTAACTGCAGCAAACTATAAAAGCAACACTTCACGCTTGTTTTGCCAACACAACATGGCGTCTCTGCCGTCTACACGCTGACAGTAATGAATATTAATGAAGTTGCATAATAGAGCGCGCTGATTGGTTTGAACCAAGCCTTACTCATGCATTAATGCATCACACTGTAAGACGTAATAAGACACACTCTGGCACAGACGTCCAGTCTGCACGCTGGAATACACGCTATTATGTCATGACCGTGACGCAGCTTCAAAAATTCGTTTCAAACCGGAAGTACGAATTTGCTTGAAATAACGCAAAAACAACCAATTTACACTTTTTAGTGAAATATAGGTGTCCTAATAGTGTTTTTAGCAGTGTGGGACACATATACGACTGTCAACAGCTCAAAAAATGTGTTTTGGTGTTTCGTGACCCTTTAAAAAACGTGGCAGATTACCACAGAAATATAGGCTATATGGCATATTAAATAGATCATTTTTGAAAATTTTTTAATGTGTGTAGCATGTACATGACATATTTCATTCCTCCGAGTATCACTAGAAGGAAGCCTGTGTACCACTAATGGTACACGTACCACAGTTTGAGAACCACTGGTTAAGTAGAATGAATCTTTTTGTTTTTGTACTCATTTAATGCACATTTAGCTTTGATGAAAAGAAACTTTCGTTTTATTTGTGCTGATTGTTGAAATCTGTTCAGAGGAGGAACCAGAGAGCGCTCCATTGCTAACACCTCAGGAGCAGTTTGAGCAGCGCGCACAGAAACTGATGGAGAAGAAACTGCGCATCGCCGCTCTGTCCTCTGCAATACTGGCAGATCCACATGTTAATGTAAGGCACACTGGCATCTCTCTGTGTGTGGGTGATCTGTACTGCTGTTAAACACGTGTGCTGATGTTTCTTGTGCGTTTCAGATCAAGAAGCTGAAGGAGCTGAGGGCCATGCTGATGGAGACAGACCCCTGCGTTGCCGTCACCGTCAGAAAGTTAGTCATGGTCTCCCTCATGGAGGTCTTTAAGGACATTGTGCCGGCATATCGAATCCGACCTCTGACGGAAGAAGAGAAGGCCGCAAAGGTGCAGTGACTTGATTATTCTTTTCATTTTGAGTAAAAGATGTTTCCAGTGTGCTTTAAAAAAGACAACAAAAAATGCTTGCTTGAAAGAAATGAAACAATAAATTGCATTGATGTAAAAAGTTTACAGATACAGTGGTCTCGTTAATCTCGTTATTCAGTTTTTTAATTAATTAAAGCAATATTATTGACTAATATGAAAATGTTCATCTGATTTATGCACAATTCAGTTTTTACAGTAATATTTTCTGTCTTTTAGTAAAGATATTATATGAGAGACTTGCTTTGTTTACCAAATAAAGTGCATCTAATTGGATTTGCAATTTAAACATTAAATAAAAGTTTAAAAGGTATTACTTTTTACTTAACATATTAAGGTTTAGTTATGATACTCCCAAAATAATTCCGCAGATTTTTACCAACATTCTCCGCAGAAATAGCAAAATCTTCTGCAGATTCCGTCAGGCCCTGGTAATAAGTAAATAAGTAGAAGTCAGCTTTATTTTTTGCAATTATTGTATATGTTTTAAAGCTGTAAAACCCCTCACTACACTATTTTCTCAGACAGCCATTAACATTTTCACACTTTTCTCTCTTGTTTAATCACTTTCACAGTTCCTTCGTAGGAAAATAAGTCCAGTATTATAGAATGAAACCAAAGATCAAAACCTGCTGTCAGGAGCAAACATTTGTTTGAGAAGATTTAATTATTTTAATTATTGATAGATTTAATTTATTCCGAATGGCGCGTTAGAGCCCCGTAACGAGAGCTGCCTTCCTTTAGCACAGGCATGTCCAAACTCGGTCCTGGAGGGCCGGTGTCCTGCAAAGTTTAGTTCCAACCCCAATCAGACACACCTGGGCTAGCTAACCAAGCTCTTACTAGGCTTTCTAGAAACATCCTTGCAGGTGTGTTGAGGCAAGTTGGAGCTAAAATCTGCAGGACACCGGACCGATTTTGGACACCCCTGCTTTAGCATATCCAGAGGTCGATGTTCAGTATTGTGCTATGGTTAGCATCTTCCACTGCTTTTGGGTGCTACCTGCAGAACGTTTGGCTGATATTATGGGGCCAATTTAGTTCTGCGGCCAATTTAGTTCACCCAATTCAACTATAGCACATGTGTTTGGACTGTGCGGGAAAACAGAGCACTCGGAGGAAACCCACAGAAACACGTGGAGAACATGCAAACTCCACACAGAAATGCCAACTTAACCAGCCAGGATTTGAACCAGCGACTTTCTTGCTGTGAGGCCACAGTGCTAACCACTAAGCCATCGTGTCGCCTCTGTTACAGTTTTCAACATTATTATTTCCAACATTGTTACAGACTCAAAAATGCAGATCCTGCCATGTGACTATTGCAAATGTGCACATTGTGATATCGTTGCTGAAACCATATCTCGTGCAGCCCCAAAACAAATCTAAACTAATTTAAAAGTCTATTGAAACTGCGTTTATGAATTATGTGACTTATATTCTGTAAAAATGTTCATTGAGAATTCAAAATATGTTCATTAGGACTTAATTGGGGCCGCTCTTTAGACAGGTGGACTCCAGGAAAAAAAAAAAAGACTATAATGTGTGTGAAATAAATTGCTTCATGCATCTGCCTTTCTGCTTCAGGTGAAGAAAGAGACGCTGCAGCTCAGAGAGTTTGAGGAGGGTCTGGTCAGCCAGTATAAGTTTTACCTGGAGGAGCTGGAACAGACAGTCAAAGGTAGATCTCTGTTCTCTGCTCTACCTGTTCATCCATTGTTTGTTTGTCTGACTGATCTGCTGTCGTTTCAGACTGGAAGCAGAAGAAGGAGAAGAGAAGTCAGGCCGTGTCTCTGCAGTCCTACAAGGGTCTTGCTGAAGTGGCCGTGCGCTGCATCTGTGAGCTGCTGGTTGCTCTGCCACACTTCAACTTCCACAACAACATTATAGTCATGCTGGTGCCTTTGATGAATGACTCCGACAAGAAGGTCAGTCTGCTAACTGTCAGCCATACACAGATCAAGACTACAATATTAGCCCTCCTGCCATGATGATAAAAAATTATTTAGCAAGATACTCCACATGTCATTTTCTGGAATAGTATATTTAATTGTATATTTAAAAGGTCTATTCCAGATATTGAAGGTCCAGGAATTTTATATTTGTTTAGATTGTAATGACTGGTTTTTCATTAATAAAAATGTATCTCTGATTTTTTCCCCCCATGTTTCCTATCAAGCTGTTCACATATTTGCTTGTTGTTATCGCTAGACTATTTTTTTTTTACTAAAATTTTAATTTATTGATTTTTTTTCCCACTTGGAAATTGAAATGCGGTCATGAAAAATACTGACTGTTAAATACTGTATGGTGTTGTTGTTTTTTTTGTCTTTTTTTTTTGTCTGTTCTTCTTAGATTTTGCGTAAAATATACACAATTACATATCTCAGTTAATTAAAAAAAAATTTGACCTCAAGAATCATAGGTTTCTCTTGTAACAACATGAGGTATCACACACCAGTTAAGCACTTTCTATAAGCAAAAACAATGCAGATGGTGTTGCAGCCATTTTAGCTGTCCTGGCTGACCAAAAATTGCAGGAAATCTGTGTCAGTAAAAAAAGTGCAAGCTCCTATAAACTTTGCACCAATATTTTTGTTTAATTTAGCATTGACAGAATCGGATTATTCTGGAGGAACTGCTGAACAGTCCAGCTGCCTGTCGCTCTTTATTATAGATCATGGAAATTCAGCTGATTAGTCAGTGGAAAGTGAGGGAATTTGATATGTGGCTTAGAGTGGGAACTCTGTAAAGCGCAATTTAAAGTCTTGGTTAGATTAACTAGTCAAGTAGGGTTGATAATTCAAGTAATTGGACAACTGGTCTGTTCTGTAGCCAGTTTAAAATCTTAAGTTGGCTAATATTATAAAAACTAATATAAAAATAATAAAAAACAATATTTAAAAAATTATTGTAAAAAATGTAAAGACTGCTTTAAAAGCTAAAACAGTTCCTCCAGGATTTTGCAGGACTTTATTTTGATTTATGTGGCCAAAAATGACAGATTTTAAAATGAATAAAATTTTTTTTTTTTTTTAAGACATTGGGTTCTGTAACATAAAATAGCACTTAATTTCAACATATGTAACCAAATAACAATTAAACTCATTAACATATTAATAATAAAACAACTGAAAAAAAGCTAAAAAAAGAAAAAAAAAAAGAAAAAGATAAGCAGAAGAAAATTAGATAAAAAATAATAAAGTAAATTTAAAGTGCCCACAAGTTTCTTTTACACGAATCTGCTCATGCGCTGCGTGCACACACACACATACACGCTGCATTCTGCTCTGCTAGCACATGCGCTGTGAAAGAGGCCTGACACCATGCCGGTGTTACGTGGTGAGAGCCTGCAAAAAAAAAGTCTTTATTCAAGTAATTTCACTCACCTCAAATTTTTTTCTGCGTCTTTCAGAGTACTATTTGTTGGTAAATGTGCACGTCCGTGTGCGTGTCAGTGTGCGTGCGTGCCTGTGTGTGTGTAAAATGCTGTCTTCTTCTGGTGAAATTTGTTCTGGTATTCTGGGTAAATACATTCAGTAATGATGTCATAGAAAGCATCTAGACCCAGTTTTGCAGAAAATCTGTGGCATTTCATAAAAAAATGTGAGATCTGCAAAATTTTGTGTAGTTTGCTTGTTTTTGTGATAAATTCAGCAATCTCAAAATCCTGGAAGGACTGTAAACGAAATGAGACCTTCTCCAAAACAAAAAAATATAATAGGAAATACTGTAAAAATTTTCTTGCTCTGTTAAACAGCACTTGGGAAATATTTGAAGGATTGGACAGGAGGGCTAATCATTTTGTCTTCAATTGTGCTTGAAACAATTCGTTTTAAGGAATACCTGTGGAAGTACCATTTGTGCTGGTGTTGTTTGTGTCTGTTCAGGTGTCTGAGATGTGTTGTGAAGCTGTAAAGAAGCTGCTGAAACAGGATAAAGTGGGCCAGGCCTCGTTAGCCATGGTCAAGGTGATCTCAGGAATGGTCAAGAGCAGGAACTATAGGATCAAACCAGTGGTATGTTCACTCATACTGTGCTCTTCATGTTGTCTCCAATAAGCGCCCAACACATCATACTTCGTGCCAATGACGAAAAGACTAAATGCATTTGCCATAAGTATTTCTATACAAGTATTTCGGGCAAGAAAATTAACACCGTTTCATTGTCCATCAGCATTATGATCAGAACATTTGTTCTAACATTGTAAATATTAAAGGGGCAGTTCACTCAATAATGAAAATTTCCTCATGTACTTTCTCCAAGTGGTTCAAAACCTCATGATCTTCTGATTTTCTTCCCTCCGGCGAACATGAAGCAAGATATTCTGAAGAATGAAAGGCCGTTGACTTCCATAGTGTTTTAGTTTCTATTATGCTTATCAATTGTCTTTTATTCCCCAACATCTTCAGTATATCCTCTTTTGATTTCAACAGAAGAAAGAAACTAATTTTCATTTTTGGGTGAACTATTCATTCAATAGTTGTTTGATTTCTTATATGGCAACTAAAATCTTTTAACTACTCCAGACCTTCTAGTCAGACTTTCTTTAATCAATATTGCCACCCAAGCTCAAGTCAAATCTTAAATGTTCAGCTGTGTTGAAACAACAATTGAATGAGTGTGTTGTTCATTGCTGTGTGAGCTTCCGTTTTGCAGTAATGTGATGTTTTGCGAATATCCAGGTGCTGAACTGTCTTCTGTGTCTGAGAATAAAAGAAGTGGACATGAAGAAAGACACTGAAGATACTGCACCCAAAAAAAAGTTCATGTCATTCAAGGAGAAGAGGAAAAATTTATCCAGGATGCAGCGGAAGGTCTGAAATCAAGCCAGTGTCACACAAATGTCATGATTTGAAGTTGTGTATATGGTATAAGACTGTATTGCTGATCTCCCCACACACACAAGCCTTCTGCTAATTGTGTGCTCTACACTTGTTTATTTACTCTTGAAAAGGACTCTGCGTATGTCTGTATTTCAGAACATATATTGCTTAACGTTTAACACATCATCACCGTGATTTAATCATTAATTTAGAGTTAATACTGAATCCTTTATATTTTTATTAAATATTATTATAAAATGCCCATTGAGCAAATAAAATAGGATTTTTGTAAATTCTTGATATGATGTAAATTCTTATTTACTTCATAGACTACTTTATATCTAATATATACTTTTTACACTTCATATAATATATGCTCTATACCAGGGGTCACCAATCTCGTTCCTGGAGGTCTGGTGCCCTGCAGGGTTTAGCTCCAACTTGCCTCAACACACCTGCCTGGATGTTTCGAGTATACCTAGTAAGAGCTTGGTTAGCTTGTTCAGGTGTGTTTGATTAGGGTTGGAGCTAAAATCTGCAGGACACCGGCCCTCCAGTAACAAGTTTGGTGATCCCTGATCTATACCTGCTTCATATACTTAAGTGCACAGGTGTCAAACTCAGATCCAAAAGGGCCGCAGCTCTGCACAGTTTAGTTCCAACCCTAATTAAACGCACCTGATCAAACTAATTGAGTCCTTCAGGCTTGTTTGAAACCTACAGGTAAGTGTGTTGGAGCAGGGTTGGAACTAAACTGTGCAGGGCTTCGGCCCTCCAGGAATTGAGTTTGACGCCCCTGCTCAAGTGCTTCTAAACATTTAAGAATTTCTTTCTTATGTTAAACACAAAACTATATATTCTGAGGAATGTTGGAAAAAAGCTGCCATTGACATCTATCCGCTTGTTAAGTCGCTATGTATCGCAGATGAATGAAATACTGTTATTGGGTCCAGGCCGCTACTCATTTGAATTGAGAAAATATTGTTTTATGGCCACTTTTAAGTCCTATCACATATTAAAGTGAATTGTTTATAAAGTCATAGTGTACACAACCGTCTCTGGACTTGCTGCATCACAAATACCACATTTTTAACAATTTATAAAAAAATGTATCACTATCTGGCCATCGTATATTAGATATGGATATATACATTATGATTGTGTTTTTTGAAAGTATTACATTGCTTTATAAAATTACCATTTGATGGGTCTCCCCATACAGTTTGATAGAGCACTTGGACATGGAAGCTGCTTCAAATGACAGCACACTTAACAAGCGGACAGTGGGAACAAAAATACTGTTAAAGTTAATGGCTGTTTCTGTGTTCAGCAGTAACTTCAAACTGGTTTAGATCAAGTGAAGGAAGAATAAATGACCGTATTTTCACTTTTGGTTGAACTATTCTTTTATTTGGAAGAGTGGACATTGTTGGACAGCAGTTTTTTCACTATAATTGTGGCCTTAGCTTGAGCTTTAGCTTGATTTCAACCTTATTCGTTTGGTTTTGGTATTTGAATGCATCTTCTTGTGAACAGTGGAAGAAAGCAGAGGAGAAGCTGCAGAAGGAACTGCTGGAAGCTGAAGCTACAGAGAGCAAGGAGAAGAAAATTAAACTGGTGAGTGATGCAAGATTAGATTGAGAGTTGAACTGTTTTCGCATTCATAATCTAAATGAAAAGCTCGATCTACCTGCATCCTAATAGGCTTCATCATGAAATACATTTTTTTCTGTCATTTGTTTTTGTTATTTTAATTATGGCATATTCTGCTGACTGTGCTTGTATTATCCCAAATGTTTGGAATAAGGATTATATTCAGAGAAATAAGCAGTTTAAAGTAATATGAAGTGTGTGCTGTGTGTTTAACACACACCCTCCATTTCCGGTTTGATTTTTAACAAGGACACAACAAAGATCAGTCCAGGATTTCTCTTCAGGCGAGTTTTTGAGAAGTTTGCGAAAAATATTGCAGCATTTCTTTTATTATTATAATGTCTATGATAATGATATATGAAATATGATTATTAAAGTATTGTCTCATGATGGAGATCACATGCTGGATGAGAAGCATGTATTAACCTACTTGAGCACATTGAATTCACAACTACTATAATGTTTCTGAATGTAAAACTATGCAGATGGTGCATAGTGTCCCGACTATCCAAAGTATGCTGGAAATCTTAGACAATTAAAAGGAAAACTCTGCAGTTTGCTTGATTTTGCAGTAAATAAATCCTGGAAGGTTTGAAAGATGCTTTAATATGTTGTGTGATTTATTCAACTGCACAGGGCAGCATTCTAACAGAAGCCTAGAATGGATTTAGTCTATTAAAACAGCACTGCTGCTTCTCCATGTGATCATAAGCTGAAGGAAAGCTTTACATAGGATGTATTGAAGAACACAACTCCCATGATTTCACACTCGGCCATAGCACCATCAAACTATGCGTTTGTTTGTTGGGAATATGCATCCTCTAGTGGCCAATATGACATACAGCCCCTATAATGCATGAACATGTTATAGTAGGATTTCATGTAGTTAATATTCACAGTGTTAATCATCCATCTTTGTTTGCAGCACACAGAGACGCTGAACGTCGTGTTCTTAATCTACTTCAGGATACTGAAGAAAGCTCAGAAGTCCGTCTTACTGTCCTCCGTTTTAGAAGGTCTTGCAAAGTAAGAAACGCCCCATGTATAACAACTTTATTAGTCTTATTGCATTGTCAACATGGGTTCATGTGAGTAATGTTGTTGAAACTGTTTCCTGAAGGTTTGCTCATCTGATAAACCTGGAGTTCTTTGATGATTTGTTAGCCGTGTTGTACAACCTCATCACATCAGGGGTAAGCATTTCAACACTGAGCTCCTGCTTTCTGTTAAAGGACACAATAGTCATGTTGTTTTTTGTAAACACACTTCTATTAATCTTACACGAACATCCAAAGTGCACTAAAACTTCCAGAACACATTACAAGTCAACTCGTACTAAAGGGCCAAGAAACCCCCCATTTCAGCAGGCTGTTTTCACACCTATAGTTTAGAAAAAGTCAGGAAAGTGGGTGTGTCTAGCTCTGTTTGGGTGGGAGTGTTGGGGGAGGGAAAATGGGCAGGGTTTGAATAAAAATGGGAGTTGCCATTTGGGCACGCACTGAGGACAGAGGAAAAACAAACACACACGCAGGGGAGAAAGACAGTGTGTTTAATGATGGTGAAATTCTGATACCGCACGTCGTATAAGAGAAAAAAAACCTCTGTATTTCTCGGTAACTCAGATGCACGCGGCAGGTCAAAAAGCTGTGTGTGTGTGTAGACAATCCTGTCACAAAATGTGGCAAAAATTAAACACGACGGTCGGCAATAGCTTGCTTGCAGTGTTCACGTGTTTACACACAGAGAGCAGCATTTACAGCGGATCTTTCAATATTGTGGTGATATTAACGTACTGTAAACTAAGTAACTTAGAAATCATTTGACTAAGGTCTGTCTTTAAACACTGTAAGAGTACTGCTGACCATACCAACTATAACTTTGCCATCTGAATGAACAAAGAAAGGGCGCTGATCGCACACACTTACCGAATCTGTAGAGACAGGACAATCAACACCAACTGGAGCTGCGTCTTTATTTAAAGGAGACGAGCAGCAAATCTGGATTTCACCATGGATGCGAAAAGCTCTCGAGTAAAAAATGTTCCAAACAAACGTATTTCTGCCGCGCGTCACGTGCACTGATCCACACCTGAGTCCATCAGCGCTCTCATAGAGAGAAAAAGAAAACAAAACCTTCACATTATGAAAGCAACACTGACGACCCGTATCTCCAAACAATTCTTATTCTTTTCCCACAACTTTTGGCAACACGACGTGTGTCGTCTCTCTGCCGTCTGAACACCGTTTCAGGTACAGTCGAAGACAGCTAGCATGCATATTAATGAAGTTGCAGCTCATACACTATAGAGTGCACTGATTAGTTTGAACCAAGTCTTACTCATGAATCAATGCAACACACTCAGAGACGTAATATGGGACACCTAGGTACAGACGTCCAATCTACACGCTGGAATACATGCTAAAATCTCATGGTCGTGACGAGCTTCATAATTTCGTTTCAAACCTTAAGTATAAATTTGCTTGAAATAACGCAAAAACAACCAATTTTCACTTTTTTAGTGAGATAAATGTGTCCTAATAGTGTTTTTAGCAGTGTGGGACACATATACCACTGTCAACAGCTCAAAACATGTGTTTTGGTGTTTCGGGACTCAGAATTCTCTCTTCAGTTGTCAGACACCCACATAAAAATATGCTATGGTTATTGATCTATACTATAGTGTTTTTTTGACACCTCCAATAGAGATAGAGCAATCAGCTAAATGTTGCTAGAATTAGTGTTTATGTATGGGCGATATATATTGTCATGAAAAATGAGTGTGGTCATCTCCATGTGTTGTGTGATGTTGATATATTGATTATTGTTAAAGGCCAGCCTGTATTCTGTTATTGTGCCGATTGTGTGAGGCTCAACTGTTGTTCTTCTCTCAGGATCTGACGTATCGCGAGAGTCTCCACTGCATTCTCACGTCCTTCCACATCCTTTCAGGACAAGGTCAGTGTGTCTCCACAGCTCTGCTCACACACACACACACACACACACACACACACACACACACACACACACACACACACCTCACCTCACCTCACAGAGCTCACACGCATATCTGTGATTCCTCAATATTGCAGGTGACGTCCTCAACATTGACCCCCTGAAATTCTACAGCCACTTGTACAGAACGCTGCTGACGCTACACGCAGGTACAGACTCCAATCCATATCAGCCTCAACATCCTGTCATCTGAACACCCCGTCTGCTCATCACCAATTACATGCACAATTATCATGTTGCTTTTTTCATGCAGGACACATTATTAGATTATTATATAAGATAAAATGACCCAAGTTCTGTTTCCATCCACACATTTCATCTCTGCTATGAGGGTAGAAAAAACAACAACTTATCTCTAATAGACAACTGCCGTGTACTTATTCTGTGATAGAAACAAAAAGGGTTGCCAGATTGAAACTTCTTAGCTTTGAGATTATTTGCCATGACTTGATTTTATTTTTCTTTTGTGTGTACGCGTGTGCATGTTTAAAGCACACTCATGAACACATCAGCTGGATCTGTTTTTCCTGTGATATTGCACTGATTTGCTGTTGTGTCTGTTGTGCAGGAGGAGTGAATGAGGACACTGTGATCGTCCTGCAGTGTCTGGACGTGATGCTGTCCAAGCGCAGGAAGCAGGTGACGCTGCAGAGAGCGCAGGCCTTCCTCAAGAGGCTGAACACTGTGGCTCTACATCTGCTGCCAGACTCGTGTGTGGGCATTCTGGCTGCTAACAGGATGCTGATGCAGGTGAGATGAGACATTGCTCTGATGAAGATGATGATGATACTCATGTTAATCTGTGCTTGTGTTTTGTGTAGACCTTCCCCAAGTGTGACATCCTTCTGGATAATGAGACGCAGGGCAGTGGTGTGTATCTGCCAGAGCTGGACGTGCCTGAATACTGCAACCCGCAGAACACAGCACTCTGGGAGCTGCACTTACTCAAGGTACAGCATAGCAAACACACACACACACACACACACACACACACACACACAACTTTTTAAACTGAAAAGCAATCTCCATCCACATTATACAGCATAACACGCATGATACGTGACTATTCACACCCACTGGGCATGCAGATATTTTACCAGCATCCATACTTGTACTCTACTGGTGGTGTAATGGTCACATGAGGAGGGCTTGATGAATCAGGGACCAATAGAGAAGGTCCAGAAGAGGATTGTTGATAGCTAAACCTCTGTTTTTAACAGTCTGAACCACAACACCAGCATCTCCAGACTAAAACAGCGTCTTTTGCATTTTCAAAATATTAGCTTTTCGTTTGCATAGACATCATTAGGTGTCTAGTCAGTTACACTAGTTTGCACCAATTCTGGGTTTTAGGCACCATGACGGAAGCTCAGTTCAGCTGCTCTATAAGTGTGGTTTATTCATAAACTACCTTCGAGAGGATCACGTGCTCATGATCAACACGGCTGGCTCCTTGTGAACTCGAGACTTACCTGAGCTCGAATTCCCCTCTCGCCCTTCTAATGGGAGGGAGCCCTGGGCTCGAGGATATTATGAGCTCAGGGCTCTCTCCCAGGACAACATGCCAAGTACGCTTTATTGATTATCAGCTTAGTGTGAACTGTTGAAAGAAACATAACTGGCTAATCTATCTTCATTGTACAGACCCCACGCATAACTTCTTTTAAAACAGCTGTATGATATTGGAGAAATCTGACATTGTGATATTTTGTTTTGCTGCAGTATATTAAGTGATATGAATACAATTTCAGCAGATTTCACTAACTTAGATTGACGGGATGATCAAGTCTTTTTCACAGCTTTATGCTTTTCTGGAGAGTCTAACACTATTCCAGTACAGAAATGAAACAATCAGGTTTAAAATAACATGCTCAATATTGTATAAATAATAAAATGCATATAAAATATTTTAATTCTAATGAATATAATCTTGTGCTGTGACTATTGCAGATACAGACATATCACTGCTCAAATTATACATTGTTCAGCCTTAATGTGAACTCCTCCACAAGCACTGAGAGCTGGTGACTCTGGAAAATAAAACCTACTCAGCATTGCTCATTCAAGTGTGTGTGTTTTTGTATGTGTGTGTTCGTCTGTGTGTGTTTCAGAGCCATTATCATCCCGTGGTGAGGAAGTTTGCAGCTCATCTGATGAAGGGAGCTCCTAGTGAAGGATCTGGTGCTCTGGGTGTGGAGCTCAGCAGAAGGTAAACACACACACACACACACACACACACACACACACACACATTTCCAGTGGTTTAAGTGCTGCTGGTTTAAGATGAAGCTAAAGGTTTGTTGTGTGTCTGCAGGTCTCCGTTACAGCTCTTTGAAGACTACAGTGTGAAAGACATGAGCTTTAACCCACCTGTTGCAGGACCACCTTCCAAGAAAAAGGTCTTCACCGAACTATCAAAGCTTCCTCTTATCTATTGTGTGCATTTTTAATAGTGTTTATTTTATATTGCAGGAGTATTTCACCATCGGTCATGCATTCTTACATAGTGAGCTGAGTCGTCAGATTGATGCCGCTCTTCAGGAGGAACCTGAACAGATGAGTCTAGACTTCACATCACCACACACACAGCAGGAACCATGAACAGATGATTACAGTATGGTGTAAAATAATAAATGATATCCGCTTTGATTTCTACTTGTTCTTTTATTGGCATCATTTAGCATGTGCACTCATGTAAAATGACTGAAAATGTTTCTTCAACACTATTTATTAATGAAAAAGGGGTGATTTCAAGTAAACAAACGACCCGAGTATTGACATCACAATATCAACAGTACATTCCTATAAGGGGTTACATTAGTAAAAAGTTAAGAACAGAGATTCTACATGAACTGAAAATAACAGCACTGTACATTAAAATACACGAGGCTGTAGTGTACCACACACAAAGTATACTTCAATGGTGCCTACCAGCGCCTTAAAAGCACTAAATATTCAGAGCTCCTCTTAAAACCAAATTACAAAAATACAAACATTATACAGGATGAACATTCATGCCCTTAAAAATAAATTAATGCAAGATTTCATTATCATATGTACACACTCTGGAAAAGTACAGCCAACCGGGGCTATAAGAGTCAATAAATTATTAAAGATTTCACATCAAGAAAGAAAATGGACCACTTAAAGTTTAAAAGAGACATTTTCAACAAAGTAAAGTAAAGCAGACCATTCAACTGCTGCACAGCAAATGGAGAAATCTCACAAACATAGATCAGGGGTGTCCAGACTCGGTTTTTAGGGCCGGTGTCCTGCATAGTTTAGCTCCAACTACCGTCAACACACTAGTACAGCTTGTTTAGGTGTGTTTAATTGGGGTTGGAACTAAAATATGCAGGACACCGGCCCTCCAGGACCGAGTTTGGACACCCCTAACATAGAAAAACAACTGACTAAACCAAACTGGCATTCAAAGGTCATATAGGATATAAACTTCCAAATTTCACTGACTTCAAAATATTCCCCAAAACAAGTCCTGCAACTGAAGAAGTCTAAAGAAGACAGGAAACACTTCACAGAAAAAAAGTCTAATAAATAAAAGCACTTCAGCCAAGAAGAGGAATTAAAAAAGTGCAGAGTGTAACATGAATGATGAAAGCGCTAGTGAAAACTGTTCAATACAGTAACATGTACACTGCCACACTACAGCGGCGCTTCTTCAAATGCTGATTTAGAGTAATACTGCAATACTGATGCCCGTTTGACCAGGATCACTCAGCATGCTGAGCTGGTGCTGATTTCAATGCAGTGAGTGTGCAATAAAGCCAGCTAATGCAATCAGCTGCTAAACCGTGCAGAAATAAGTCTGCTCAAACATCCTGTGCACAAATCAAATCAATAAAAAAAAAGAGACAAATGTGCCAGGGGCAATTTCATCCAAAAAAAAAAGGGGATGTAAATAAAGTAAAAATGTGTTGATTTCAAAATAACACCGATGTGCAAAACCACAGAAGAATCTGAGATGCATCTGAATGCATTCAATGATGGATCACTTACAGTACTGTTAACACCAGCAGAACAGAAGTGAAGCGTCTTCATCTGGAGCTCAGACCACTGCTGCTCTGCCTGCCTCATTTATGCAGCTTCCAGTTCCACAGCAGCGGGAGAGACCACCCGGACAAGGCCGAGACACCGTCACCACACTGGGAGCGTCTCGGAGAGCCCAAGCGGCCCTCAGCCATCCAGGCCTTCAGCCCCAGAGACAGAGACCCTGCAGAGGAAAACACAAGAGGACATTCAGTCTCCTGCTAAATACATGATTCTGGTGCTGAATGATCTGAGAACACACAATACTCTTGATTCATCTTGACCTCATACCTGCCTCATTCTGTCAAATTCACATTCACCTACAGGCCAGAAGACACAGATCAGTTATCTAGCTTGGACTATTTTCAGGTGCTGTGTAATATCAATGACTACGTTTACGTGGACATCGGCGGGTAGAGTATCCAAAATCCCAAATCTATACTATAATTTTTACTCACGTAAAAGTAACAATCATAAAAGTTACCCAAGTAAGAGTAAAAAAGTATCTGATGAAAAAATTACTCAAGTAAATAGTTACTAGTTAACACATATATATATATATGTATATATGGGCGAAGCAGTAGGTAGTGCTGTCACCTCACAGCAAAAAGGTCGCTGGTTCGAACCTCGGCTCAGTTAGCGTTTCTGTGTGGAGTTTGCATGTTCTCCCTGCATATAACATCTTTTCTCCTCTGGAAACAGTATGTTTTATATCAGCTGAAATAAACGCAGTTTATAAAACCATGTTAAGGTCAATATTATTTCCCCCCTTAAGCTATTTGTATATATGTTTGTCTTACGACTGTGTTTTTTTCAGGTAGGAGCTGGAATTCATGTATATGTTGTAATGTCAGTTCGATGTACAGCATGAACAGCATTATCAAACTGCTCTTATTGACATCTTGGAGTGAAAACAGACTGAACTTGAGGCCACGAGTTACCTGGTCCAATAAACTCACTGCACAGACAGCGTGACCGTCCTTCTCAGAGCGGCAGAAAGGCATGGCGTAACGGCAGCATAAACTCGCACGTCTTCCTCGAGTCATCATTCAAAGATTGGCGTGCACGCTCAAACCGAAAGCGGGAGACTCGTTTCTATAAATACGTCTCACGACACAACCTCTCCAATGCGGCACCTCGAGATATTTGCAAACAATTTAAATGAATCATATGATTATCATTTGACAGTAGCGGAGGAACGATGCCAAATGTAGTGAAATGAGTACTGATTTTTCTCTAATCATTTACTTGAGTAAGAGTAAGAGTAGACTTTTTTTAAATGTACTCAAAGTACACGTTACCCAATAATTTTACTCAAGTAAATGTAACAAAGTAAATTTAATTCCTTACTACCCATCTCTGGAGATCAGTAATGGAATGATTCATCTTAATCTGAGTAAGACAACAAAATGATTCTCTGGAGTTTCATGTAATTTCTGCTGTTTAATTTTTGATTTGTGGACTTTAACTGCAGTTTGGCACTTTCACTTTTATCCAGGAATATTTCTTCATGCCCCCGTGACAAACGAGATATTGGATTTGCGTAAGAACTGCTGGAAGAGTGTTGTTTTAATGGAACTTGATACTGAACATCATATGGGGGAAAAACATAGTCCTCCTGTCTATAGTCCTCCACTGGCTAGGTTGGTGCAGAGAATAGTGTTTAACAGCTGTGTGTGTATAGACTATCCTGTGACAAAATGCAGTGAAAATCCTACACGACTGTAATAGTTTGATCGCGGGGTTTACATGTCTGAGTTGCTCTTCAATAATACATCTAAAATCAGCATAATCCACATGTCCTAAATTGATTTCTGTTTAGTTGGATTATTACTTTAGTCAGATTAAGGTCTTTAAAAATTGCTGTTTATATGGTCGACTCTTAATCAGAGTATTGTCTTAATCATATAAAATCAGATTGTTGATGTCCATGTAAACATACTCAGTGTGTCTGCTGCAGCCATACTACGCCAGCAAAGTTCCTTGATTATTATTACGCCAGGATCAGAATATAGTTCCAAGCCAGATCAACCTAGAGAACAGCAACAGTTCTTTTCTTCCCTACTGTAGTCAACATTTAAAGTGGATCAAAACAGCTTTTCAAAATGGGCCCAAGACAAGAATGAATGTCTTTCAATAGTTTTAGGACAACTTTGTCCACTTCATTTGAAGATTCACTGCAATTCACACTAACGCCGTCTACTGTTTGGTTTCATTATTCTCTACAGAGTCGTCAAGCTTTAGTAACATGATCAAAACTCTTTTTGACATTGAGCAAGATGCTAACGGTCTACTCTGATTTAATGATTTATGCTAAGCTAGGGATGCTAATAAAACATATTAAAGCAGAAACGAGTGTGTGACGGTATTAGCATGAACAGAGTTAGTCTCACTAGTAAGCACTGCTCATTTCTCTGCACTTGAACATTCTTCCAAACATTCAGCATAATGTAAGTACATCATCAGCAACATATATTACACCGTTCTGGTGGGTGTTTGGATATTTTTATGAAAAAAAAAAAAAAACTTCAAACCATGTGAGGTCCCCATACAATCATCAACGTTAGTCCATGTACACACACAATTGACTTGGCATTAATAAATATGAGGATGCAGAAATGTCATGCCTCCAGTCCTCAAACTGTACAGGACTGTGTCTTCAGCACTCCTGAAGACATGCTGCACTCTCAGAAATAAAGCTATGTGAGCGGTCACTGGGGTGGCACCATTTCAAAAGGTACACATTTGTACCATTCACACGGGGCTTCAGCGTCAACGCTTGACTGAAGCCGTGTCTGAAGTTGGGGCTGAAACAATTGTCATAGAAGTGTCAGCCAATGAAATTCAGTCAGCAATAGGCCACTGTCTAGCTGGTGTATTTGCACACAGCAATCTGATTGGCTGACGCTTCCGTCGGCGCTTGAAAAGTTGAGCTACTCCCAACTTCAGCAGCAAGCAACGCCTCTGAAGCAGCGATGACGGATCCACAAAGCAGTTCGGCAACGCCTGGCGTCACCCATTCAAAGTGAATGTGAAGCGTTGACGCTGACGCCCTGTGTGAATGGGGCGTTAAAGGCTTCATATTGGTAGTATATATACATACCTAAAAATTAAGAGGAACACTTTTGTACTTTTTAAGTGCTAATATATACCCTTGAGGTATTCATATGGACCTTTTAGATACAAATGTGTAAGTTTGAAAAGATACCACACCAGTGACAGCTCTCATAGCTTTATTTCTGAGAGTGTGCCGTGTTAACTGTGAAATCAACAGCAGAACACTGTCAAATGAGAAGGTACACCCTGGAGCTTGATAATGGAGCCTTTTCACAAAACAATTATGAAGCGTTTAACATCTTCAGCATCTTAAATCCTTGAGAGTTTTTTTTATATTTAAACTCTTAAATTTATGTATTATATCATATTTATATCAAATTACAAAAAACTAATTAAACAGGAGTTTGTACTGCAGTGTCTATGTGAGGACAGTATATTTGATCTTATTCTCTCCTCTGGCTGCCGTCATCAGTCTCACACTATTGTTTTCTCTTTTACAATTTTTCTTTTATTATTTCAGCAAATAGGATTGTAAAATAATGATAAGTTGT